CTTTTTGTCTTTAATTCTGTTTATGTAGTGGATCACATTTATTGCATATGTGGAACCATGTTTATATCCCTAGGATAAAACCTACTTGATTGTAGATTTTTTTTTTTTTTAATTTGCTGTTGGATTCGGTTTACTAATATTTTGTTGAGTATTTTTGCATCTATGTTTGTAAAGGATATTGGTCTATAGTTTTCTTTTTTGTTGTTGTTGTATCCTTTCTTGGCTTTGGTATTAGAGTGATAGTGGCCTCGTAGAATGAGTTAGGGAGGATTCCCTCATCTTCAGTCTTGTGGAATAGCCTTAGTAAAATTGGTACCAGTTCTTCCTTGAAGGTCTGGGAGAATTCATTGGTGAGTCCATCAGGTTCTGGACTCTTTGGGTTGGGAGACTTCAGATTACTGTTTAGGTCTTGCTGATTGTTACTGATCTACTCTGGGTTTTTATTTCTTTCTGATTTAAGGTTGGGGGGTTGTTTTTCCAATAATTTATTCATTTCCTCTAGATTGCCTAGTTTGTTTGCATAGAGTTGTTCATAATGGTCTTGGATGGTTTTTTAAAAAAATTTCTGTGGTAACAACTTTAATGTCTTTGTTTTCATTTCTGATTATGCTAACTTGAGTCTTTTTTCTTTGTTTCTTAATTAATCTAGCTAGTAGTCTATTAATTTTATCTTTTCAAATAATTAACTTTGTTTCATTGATACTTTGTACTGCTTTTAAAATTTCAGTTTCATTCAATTTTGCTCTTACCTTCGTTCTTTTCTTCTTCTGTTTGGTTTGTTTTTTCTAGTTCCTTGGGGTGCTATGTTAGGTTGCCGATATGCAGTCTTTCAGTCTTATTAGTGTAGGCCTTAAATGTTATAAATTTTCCTCTGAGTACAGCTTTGGTTGTGTCCCAGAGGTTTTGATGACTTGTTTTGTTGTTGTCATTTGTTTCAAGGAATTAAAAAATTTCCATCCTGATTTCATTGTTGAAACCAAGGGTCATTCAAGAGCAGATTTTTTAGCTTCCATTTTTGTTTGGTTTCTTGAATTCTTCTTGGAGTTAATCTCTAGTTTTATTTCACTGTGATCTGAGAAGTTGCTTGATATGATTCTGATTTTTAAAAATTTATTGAGACTTGATTTGTAGCCTATCATGTTGTCTGTCTTGGGGAATATTCCATGTGCTGATGAGAAAAAAGTATATTCTGTAGTTTTGGGATGGGATATTCTTTAGATATCTGTTAGTTCTGTTTGTTCTAGAGTCTGGTTTAACTCCTCTCTTTCTTTCTTTCTTGATATGTCTGTTGCTGACAGAGTGTTGAAGTCTCCCAGTATTATTGTGTTGCTGTTTATCTCTTTCTTTAGGCCTGGGTAGAATTTGTTTTACAAAACTGGGGACTCTTGTCTTCATGTTGGATTGATTTCTTTATCATTATATAATAGCCATCTTTATCTTTTTTTACTGTTGTCAATTTAAAGTGTGCTTTATCTGATTTGAGAATGACTACTCCTACTTGTTTTTGGTTTCCATTTGTGTGGAATGATTTTCCTCTTTACCTTGACTCCATAGAAGTCTTTGTGAGTTAATTGGGTCTCTTAAAGGCAGCAGATATTTGGGTTGTATGTTTTTATCCATCCTGCTAGTCTGCATCTTTTTAGTGGGGCATTGAGACTATTTATATTCATAATTAATAATGATTTGTAAGGTCCTATTCCATCTGTCATACTGGTTGTTATCTGGTTGCTTTACTTATTTATTTTCTCTTGTGTGTGAGTGTTCCATAAGGCCTGTGAACTTTATGACTTTCAGTGTTTTTCTACTAGTGTGTTCAACCTTTTGTTTCATCATTTAGAACTCCTTTGAGTCTTCCTTGTAGAGCTGGTATAGTGGTGACAAATTCCCTCAGCATTTCTTGTCTGTGAAGGACGTCATTTTTCCTTCATTTATGAAATTTAGTTTTGTAGGATACAAAAATTCTTGGCTGACAGTTATTGTTTGAGGAGATTGAAGACAGGACCCCAATCCTTTCTGACTTGTAGGGTTTCTTCTGAGAAGACTGCTGTTAGTCTGATAAGTTTACCTTTGTAAATTATTTGATGCTTTTGTCTCACTTCTCTTACAATTATTTCCTTCACATTAGCTTTGCATAGCCAGAAGATTGTATGCCTTGGGGATGACTTTTTTTGAAATGAACCTTCTGAGAGTTCTTTGGGTTTTTTGTATCTGGATGTTTAGATCTCTGGCAAGATCAGGAAAATTTTCCTTAATTATTCTCTCAAATAGGTTTTCCAAACCTGTTGCTTTCTCTTCTTCCTCAGGAATACCTATGATTCTTAGGTTTGGCTGTTTATTCCTGGAGACTTTGTTTCATTCTCTTGATTCTTTTTTCTTTGTTATTGTCTGATTTGGTTAATTCAAAAACTTTGTTTTCTAGTTCAAAATCTTTTCTTCTGCTTATTCTAGTCTACTGTTAAAACTTTCCACTGCATTTTTATACTTCCCTGAATGATTCAGTTCCTGAATTTCTGCTTGGCCTTTTTTTTTTTTTTAAGGGGTCTATCTCTTTGGAAGATTTTTCATCTGTGTCCTGAATCTTTTTTTTTTTTTTTCTTTATGTTAGTTTTCAGTTTTCTCCTTAAGTTCATTGATAAATTTTATCATCACCCTTTTGAATTCTTTGTCTGGAATTTCAAAAATTTCATTTTAGATAGGGTTGGTTGTTGAAGAGTTCATGAGACTTTTGGGGAGTATTGGAGAACCCTGTTTTTTCATTTTGCCAGAATTATTTTTCTGGTTCCTTCTCATTTGGGTAGACTATTTCTTCTTCTTTTTTTTTTTGAAAGCAGAATTTATTGAGAGGACAGAAAGGCTCCCATAGCAGAAGGGGACCGCAGAAGGGGACCTCAGAAGGTTGCCTATTTCTTCTTATTTGAGGTTGACTGGAGGCTGACATTGGCACTGTAGAGTTCCCTTGGTTATATACAGTCTTGGTGTGATCAGTTTCTCAACTGCCAGATGTGACAGACCTGTGCTGGGTACCTGCACTGGCTCACAGTGTCCTGAAAGGCACGGAAAGTGTTGTTAGGATCGGCCTTTTCCAAAGCTGAGGTTTTGAATCTGATGTGGTGGGCTGTACTGTTGACCACAGGCCAGGAGGTGGCGCTTGTGGGAGAAAGCCAGCTGCAATGTGGGATGTGGGGTTTCTCCTTGGAGGGTATTGCTCCAAGGATGTACCCAGCCTAGACTTAGGGCTGGACTCCAGGGATTTCTTGAGTTCTCAATCTGTTTTGAGCCTTCTGGATAGTGCAGGGGATAGGAGATGGAGCTCCCACAAAGTGCACTCTCAGCTGTCCCATCTCAGCTGGGACTACAAGGGAGTTCCAGGCCCTTGAGGTAAGGCTGTGGCGCAGAGCAGGCTGGGAGACTTCAGGAGGGGAGAGAGAGGTTGCTATGGCAGTGTGTCCCACTTGACTACACCTTGGACTCAGGTGTCTATGATCTGAATGTCAAGGTCAGCTGGCCTCAGGACCTCAGGTGTTCTAAGACAACCCACTCAGCCAGGAATTTTCTACACCATGGAGTTTGCCCTTGGGGGCCATTCCCTCCTAAGCTGGCTGGAAAACAGCTGCTCTACCTGCAAGTGTTAAGTTCCAGGGAAATGGCAGCTGGCTCTGCTCAAGGCTTTGTCCTGCTCCACTTCATGGCAAAGCATGGCTGTGGGCAAGGGGGTTTCCCCTTGAGGGCCTGGAGTCCCACAAGACGCAGGGAGCCCTGCATGTTCGTGGTAGGAGTACAGAACTCCTGAATTCCCGTCACTCATAATCCCTACTGCATCCAGGGACTGTGGTGAACTGTGGGTGCAGGAGAGAGTTCGGCTAGTTCCAGCCCAGGTTGGTGGATTTTTTTCTCATTTGCTCTAAGTGGTTATTATCACTCCTTTGGAGACTTGTGGGCCTGCCACCGGATCTATTCCTCTCTGGGTGCTGAGGAAACTCTCTGTGTCTTGGTTTACTCTTCTGGAGAAACTCACTCTAGCTTCTCATGTAGACCTTCGTAATCCTATCTACCACAGACCAGTATTTGTATTAATTGCTAAATGCGTGCTTTTGTAAATGAGGAATTTAGAGGCGAGAGAGATCATGATGTGGAGAAAAGCAAGAGAAAGGGTGTCTGGGGCACCCCACACCGTAGCACTGTTGATGTAGCTTGTAGCTGCCAGCTGGTGGCCTTAGAGCGTTGACTCACATCAGAGTCTTGCCTTCAGTGTTCCATCAGCATGGCCAGTTGGGATCAGTCGCTCACAAACTAAAGAAATGTTAAAAGAATCTCAAGTGATGGCATGCTTGCTGCATTATGACAAATGCAAGAGGGAACAGAAAAAAAGGGCAGAATGGCAGACTCATTGTTTCACAAAGCATTGGGGGAAGAACATTCATCATGTCCATTGGGGTGAAAATTTGGCAGCCTACATTATTTCATAGCCTTGTTTATGTAAAACGTTACTTTAAAATGTTGTAGCCAGATATAGGATATCCACATGATTTAAAGAATGTAGAGACCATCAAAGTTGTTAATTTATGCAAATAAAATTATTGAATTATAAATCCAGCCTTCATTCTATGAGTTGTGACTCAGGTCTGAGGATATAGAAGGCTGTGTTTGTATGTTTGGAACCATGTCTTTGAAAAAATACATTTCAGGAAGTTTACACTACTGTTTATGAGAACACTTGCTAATTTAATAACTTCTTGCAGACTCTGTGGTTCAGTGCCTACAATTTGATTCACCGCAACTGGACTGATAATCTTGATGAGTACTGAAAAGCCCTTTTGAGATGGGAGTTACTTGAAAAAATATCCTCACCATTGAACTTTCTCTGTAGATGTGTCCATTGAAGACATTTTCTTAGTCACCCCTAGCTTTTGGGTGCACTTACCTGAGAGCATAGTGTTTTATTGTAACTGTGTGACAGTGAACATAGTAATGTGGGGGTTACCCTTTCTCATCTTTTGCAGCACGTCACGCCCGACAGCTACATCCCCTGCCTGGCCGACCTGTGCAAAGCACTGTGGGAGGTGATGCTCAGCTACTACAGGACCATGGGGTGGCATGAGAAGCACGATGGCGAGGATGTGGCCGCAACCTCGGGTAGGAGCTGGCGGTACTGCCTGCTAAAGGCTGTGCTGTCAGCATGCCATGTGACTGGAGTGGGAAGGAGAGTGAGGACAGGGCCACCAGGGACCAGGGGCCAGATGTTCAGCAAAGTGGTTCAGCTACTATAAAGCTCTGCCTCCTTTGGGACTAACTGACCAATGAGCTTTTTAAGTGGCAAATGGTACCAGTTTCCAGAAGTGTGTGCTCAGGGACTTAGGATGGAATTATTGGGAAAGAGCATTTCAAAAAATTTTCTTTAATAATTATTTGTAAACTAGGTAAAGCATTGTTCTGTCCAGGTTTACTATGAAATTAATACTGGCTATCCAGAATTAATCTATTTTGCTAATTTTCAAGTCACGCAAATAAAGCTAGGTTCTAAGAGCTAATAATTGTATTTACACTTTCCTTCCTGAAAATGCAGCAAGTCTTAGAATTTCATTACAAAATGATGTTTTATCCTAAGTAAACTGACTCAGAAACAGAAAACCAAATACCATGTGTTCTCACTTATATGTATTCTCATTTATATGTGTTTTCACTAATATGTGGGACTACAAAGATGGAAATAATAGACAGTGGGGACACCAATAAGGGGAGAGGTGAGGATGTTTAGGGTTCAGAAATTATCTGCTGGCTACTGTGTTCACTATCTGGAGAATGGGCCACCTGAGATCCAATGCCCACCACTGCACAGTATGCCCCTGTAATGAGCATGCACATGTACCCCCTGAATCTAAAATAAAAATGAAAAAAAATCATGTTATAAAATATTCATATTTGAATATCAACTGCAACTTTAAGTGATTGTAGTATAGTCAGCTAAATAATAAAGAGCGAGTCTTTGAGGAATTATTACATTTATTAGGCATTTTGTTTAAATTGCTTCAAGTATTCAAAATACTTTTAAAGACCATAAATGATATTACAGCATTTTGTGTAATATGGACAAAATAAATTATAGCATACACATTTTTGTGTAGCACATACAATTTAATGTAACTATTCAATCAAGTTATTTTAGTAAAATTCTGTTTCTGGGTTGTTGGTTTCTGTTGTTGTGTGGGTAGAGGGAACACCTAAATCTCACTGATGAAGCTTAGGATTTTAGTATTTTGAAGACATATGTTTAATCTTTGTCTTGTCTCACAAGAAAACTCATAAATACAAGAAAACAAAAAATCAGAGAGGAAAATTCTATGACTGAATTTTCATCCACTGAGAAGTACTGTTGGCAGGATGGAGGAGGGAAGGAGGAGGATGCAGAGGGGGCATGGGTGCCGGTGGTTTCAGGCCAGACCACCTCACTACCCTCACACTCTGGGTTTCCTGCCTCCGGGGGAAGGGGCTTCTGTCCAGAGGCTTTACGTTGTCACCGCGTTCACCAAACGTGCAAATTGGAAGACACTGCTTTCCTTTCCAGTCTTAGTGTGCTCCTTAAAATGACAGGCTGAAAACAATCAAAACAGCCACACAGAGTAGCACATCCACCCCCAGGGTTGCTGTGAGGCTTGGAGAGAGGGCAGGGTGCTTGTGCTGGAGTCCTTAGTATAGCGGAAGCCATCAAGAGGTGACTACAATAATTATGAGATGCCTGGACACTAGTAAGACTCTTCAGCAACTCTTTTTCCTTGTCTAGTACGTTATTTAAGGAGAAACCAAAGGAAAAGTTTGGAACAAATTAACATATGCTTTAGATATAAAAGTTTAGGGGACATCATGGAAAAGCTTGCTTTTTGCTTTAGGCAGTAGTTTATGTTCATTGGAGGACTGAGTCAAACTTAAAATTCTCTTTGAGCTTTATCTGCTTAGTCCTTCTTGCTAACACTACTTGACCTAATCTGTTTATTTTATGACTGTTCAGGTATGCTGATTAGTCTAGCAGACAGCTGATAGTTCTAGGACTCCAAAAATTTATTTTCACCTGAAATTAATCCTTTCATATTTAGGAATAAAACTGTAGAAATCAATAATTTGAAAATTACTCCTCACAGAACTTCATAAAGCTGAAGAGGACTCTAGAATTCATCTTCTTTAGCTCTCTGGTGGTAATATTTGATGCTATTTGGTATCCTAACACTTGTTCTGCCTTAGGCCGCTAGATCTGTAGCAACCAGAATATGTGTGAGGGAGACCCAAAAAAACCCATCGAATTTATCTATGAAAAGTTGCCTATTTATTCTTACATGTTTAAACTTCAGTCCCTTCGAAGTCTTCTCTATTAGATGCAATTCACCCGAGATGCTTTCTGTACTGCTCAAAACAGTTTTTGAACTCATCAATTTTGATGGTTTTTAGTGGTTTTGCCATTTTTTGTTTCACCTCTTTCACATTGGCAAAATGTTTCCCTTTGAGGATTTTTTTTTTTCTATCTGAGGAAACAAAAAAAACTTGCTTGGGTCGAAATTGGATGAATAGGGAGAGTGGGACACGGGGGTCATGCTGCTTTTGTTCAAAAACTGCTAAACTCTCAGCATGGTGTGGGCAGGTGTGCTCGTAAATAACCCGTCTTGAAATGAGCAAACACATTGAAAGAATCTGCAAAAAATAAAAATTCACTGAAGCCAGAAGCAGGCTCTTCTAACAACACTAGCTGGTATACTGATGCCAGTGGTTTCCTAGAATACTCACCTAATGGGGAAAGCCTGTATTACAAAGGGCCCGCCCTCCAAAGGATAATTCCTGTTTTGATGGCTCCCCCCAGTATATATGTGTAGGGGCTTGAGCTCCAGGAATGCTCAGAGACAAACCAGTCATGTATTTCGGGCCTGGCTCGTGCAAGGGCCTTTTCCTAGTTCTCTGTGTATACCTTGCTAACCTAAGACAGGGTGATCATATACTCAGTTGTTTCTCACTGGTGATCACAGCAAAGTTGAATCTTTTGAATATAAATGTATGTGTGTTTTCAGTTGTTTTGAGGCAGGTCACTGATCTCATCTGTTGAACTGGGCATTGTTAGATTCGTTCTCTGGGATGGATAAAACTCTTATGATGACAATATAAAACATGTGCCTCAGGACCACACTGTCTGAGCAGCTGTGCAGTCTGTACTCTTGTTAGCGTGCATATCACTTAATAATTGGATTAAGTGGTTTTGTGTGCCATTATAGGGGTTCCAGTCACAGTATATGGCCACTGAGAATCTGGTCTCTGGGACCACACTGACTGAATTGGCATTCCAGCCTAAGCCACATATCTGACTGGTCTCAGGTGTATTAGCCATTTCATGGTCTAAGTTCGTCTGTCTTACTCAAAGGGTTTAATCCTAATACTTTTTTTTTTACATTGTTTTAATTATATAAATATTGAACATGTATGCTGTATCTTACTTAGGCTCACAATGTATGAGAGGCCAAATAGATATTATTTGAACAACAGAACACATTTAAATAAATCTAAAAATGTATACCATCTTTTATTTTCAGAAGGTAGTAATATGGAAGAAACTAATTTTGATCGTGGCTACGTAAAAAAGAAATTAGAACATGGACTTACACGAATATGGCAGGTTTGGTTTTTTAAAATTACTTTTTCATAGAAGCAATAGGAATGTCATGTCAAAATTGTTTTGGAAATTTAATTCTAAATTTTCTATATTTGTATTTGCAAATTTAATTATATTCAGCTTTTTGGGAAAAGGCTATTTAATTTAATTTCTGTAATGTAGTTGGCATTTTGATTTGAAACTTTCCATTGGAAATATTATTTTTACTTTTAGAGGCCTAGCAAATTTATGCTTTCCTAAAAAAACTAGCCTTTCTCATTGAGATTCTCTTTTTTAAAAAATTTATTTGTATTTTCATAGTTTTCTATTAATTTTAGGAAAAAAATAACTGAGTAGGTGATGTGTGTGGCTCAGAGTCTAGTACAGAGTGAAGAATGTTTTTTCTCAGTATTTGTATCTTGAGGAAATCTTCATGCTTATTGGCTGAATAGAGCTGTCTTATTGCATTCGGGCAGCTATAACAAAATACCCTAAACTGGAGGCTTAAAAACAGAAGTTTATTTCTCTCAGTTCTAGAGGCTGACAAGTTCAAGATCAGATGTTGACAGACTGGGTGTCTGGTGAGAGTTTGAGTCCTAGTTCACAGATGGCATGGCCTTGCTGTGTCCTCACATGTGGAAGGAACGTGGGGCTTGCTTTGGGCTTCCTTTATGAGGGCATCATTCCATTCATGAGGCCCTATCTTCTTGACCTAATCACTTCACAAAGGCGGTGCTTACTGTTACCTTCACTTTGGGGTTGGGTGGATATGAACATTCAGATCATAGCAATGTCTTCTTAAGCTTTTCTTTGCCATTTAGTAGTTCAAGTGTTTATAATTTGATTGTTTTCTAAAATTAGTTAGTTCTTAGACCAAAGTGTAATTTCTTTGAAGATAACTTGTGCTTTTTGAACTTTGAACCTCAGGAGGCTACAGACCCTTTGACCATGTTATGATCTTTTAAAATGCATTTTTGATTTTTCTAATGATGGTGATTTTTAGTTTGACCATCTTTTATAGGATTTCTTTAGAAGGAAATTGTTTAGGTAAATACATCCTGAAAACATAAATTTTCTGAAGAATCACTTAGTAGTTATAATTTAGTGCTCTTTTGATTTTATATGAGATACACTATTTGAATTTATACTTTATTTTTATTTATTTATTTATTTATTTGAGTTGGAGTCTCACTCTGTTGCCCAGACTGGAGTGCAGTGGCCGCTCCCAGCCACCGCAGCCTCGACCTGCTGGGCTCCGGCGATCCTTCCTCCTCAGCCTTCCATGTAGCCGGAATTACAGGCATGTGCTACCACGCCTGGCTGATTTTTTTTTATTTATTGTAGAGATGAGGTCTCGCTGCCCAGGCAGGTCTCGAACCCGTGGGCTCAGGCAATCCACTCACCTCAGCCTCCCAAAGGCACTGGGATTATAGGCTGAGCCACTGAGCCCGGCGAATTTATACTTTAATATTTAAAATATATTTATGTGATAGTTGTAAGAGTTTTAACTTCTATATTTTCTTATATGACCATATTAAATATTTATTAAAATTAGATAAAAGATTTTAATTTACCATTAATTGTGGGTTTGAAGTAACTTTTTTCTGAGTATTATGTATAAAAGGAGGGGAAATCTCATACACATTGAGTGTACACCCTTGCCCATAGTTGTTTCTGAGTTAGTCTTCCAACAGACTCCAGTTTTACATAGTCGATATTGGAGAATCTGTGGTCAGATCTACTGTTTATCAAGCCATTATGTATATGTAGGGTGCCAAAAAAATGGACACACATTTTAAGAAAGGAAAAAATGTATTAGAACAAAAGATGAATATAAATCACGTTTGACTTCTGCAATTATAAAGATATGCTCAAAGTGGTTACCATCAGCGTACAGACACTTCTGGCATCTCTTAAGATGTGTCTATGTATTTTGGCCCCTGTGGGTGTGGGTGTGTGTGTGTGTGTGTATGTGTGTGTGTGTGTGTGTGTGTGTGTGTATGTATGTATGTGTTTATATGTACTGTTTCTGGATTATTTTTTCTAGTCTGTTGATTTCTCTGTATGTTGTTATATTGCTAGAATTTAAAAAATAGTTTTTAATATATCACAGTTAGTACCAGTCTTCCAACATTGCTTATAACTTTTGCTTCTACTTTTCAAAACTTTTTTTTTTAAAGTGGTTTTTCCCTCTTACTCTAGGAAAATTTTAGAATAATTGTTCAGAAGAAAAGTTTTTGTTGTGATTTTGGTTAGAATTTCATTGAACCTCTACACTAATTTGGAAGAATGGACATTTTTACACATCCAGTCCTGTGATTTAATTTATTGAAATTTTAAATTTCCTTATGTATCTCATTAGAGCTATTACTTCTTCTTATAGGTCTGATATTTCTTATTATAGTTATTCTTTATTAGTATCTATTTTAAATGGAATAAATTTCTCCATTTTTAGTTGCCATAATAGGTATACATGAAATAGGTATAATTTCTTTGCATTGTCTTGTACATAGCCACTTCATGTAGTTATCTTATTATTACTGATTATTTTTGAATTGATTATTTTGGAATTTCTAACCAACTAAGCCATATATAAATAATGATTTCATCTTCATATCCAGTATGAAGACATAATTTTCCTTATCTTATGTGTATGGGTATGTGTGTGTGTTTGTGTGTTTTACATTGGATAGAAATGTGTACAACTGTTAAGTTACTGTGATGTTTGTAGCTGATATTCATGGAATTGTCTCTATTAGATCTCCTAAAGATGTTGACTATTGACCTAAATAGATATTATTTATCAATTTACAAATATATTTCTGCCTCATTTTAAACTGGAACTCAAGAATAGGTGGTTCTGATAATTTATTTTGTATATTTTGAGTTTGCTTGAATTTTTTTTTTCTTTTGTCTTACAGGATGTTCAGCTAAAAGTAAAAACCTACTTACTTGGAACTGATTTGTCTATATTCAAATATGATGATTTCATCTTTGTTTTGGATATAATCAGCAGGTAGTGCTTGAGATCTTGTTTTATTCTTTAGTTTGATTCATTCTACCATGGTAATCAAAGGAATAATGAATTAGTGAATTATCTATAACTTCTTTTTGGAGATGAAGATAATCGTACATTCGTAATCTAATTGCTGCTGGGTTTGTGTTAATGTACTTAAATATTTCTGCTCCTTGTACCACAGTGAGTTTGTAGTCTTTAGATTTTTTTCAAATTTCCAAATTTTTATGATTTATTTTCTTTGAAGAAAGAGAACCTGGACAACTTTTTCTCTATAAGGATGTGACTGAAATTTACATAAACCTTTCTATGCAACTAGGCTGATGCAAGTTGGAGAAGAATTTTGTGGTAGCAAGTCTGAAGTTTTACAGGAGTCCATCAGAAAACAGAGCGTCAATTATTTCAAGAACTACCATAGGTGAGAACTCTAAAGTACGAAGACATGCTTTGTCTAACACTTAATCTTACAGCGTTAATTGATTTAAGACAATTACTTTTGAATTTGAATGCATATGTTACTTGTAGCTTTTTAGAGGATAATTAAGATTTTTTACCAAAATATAATAAAGTGTTCTCATTATGTAGTCATTGTAAATCTTAATACATTCTTTGTCTTGAGGGGCTGAAAATATTGAACTGAATATTGAACTGATTTCCTTATGGGTAGACGATGATTGTGCATCAAGATTCACAGAAAGAATTTGTCCCCTGCTGCATGCCTGCATGTGTGTAGTTTGAGCTCTCTTGGAAGTTAAGTCAGCAGAGGCAGTTCTTAGTGAGGAGGTGCATGAGAGACACCTTCCAGGGTGAGAAGCTTCTCCAGGAGAGGGTGTAATATTCAGAATCCAGCTGCGAAGCTAGGATTGTGGACTACGTTGCTTTGCAAAACAACCACTGTGAACTTTAAAAGGTGACCAGGGGTAGCTTGGGGAATGGAGGAGAGCTGGAAGGGGTGTTCACACCGCAATGTGATTGTGTGTTCAAAGTAGCGTTCAATTCGGTGGAGAGAGAGCTGGCACTTACCAGGCCTCTCTTGATATAAGCTGGATGCTGTGCTGCGTCCCTTCTATGTATTGGGTCATTTGAGTAGAGCTGTATCTTACTTTTTATACTGAACTTTTACTTTTTATAATTAAGTTCTCATTTTGTTGTTAACTGGCACCAGAGAGAGTCAGGATTCAAAATATTCCTTTCTGGTGCATCAATGGAATTGACAGGCAGGTTAGAAATGATGCCAGTGTACATACATGGAATTGACTAAAGTCATTACATTAGCCAGTGATGAGTCTAAATGTGCTATGTTCCCTTCACCAAATCTTACTACATAAATACTGAAAACTGTATGAGACATGGTGAAATATAGATCAAGATTGCTTTTACTTTGCTAATAGAAGTATTTAAATGTGCATACAGTTTGTTTCATGGTCCTCTACTGCCAAGTAGAGCTCTTGAGAATGAAGACGTGAGTGAACCAGATTATTCTTACTTTGGGTCCATTTAGACTATTGGTTTGAAGCTATTGGCATATTACAAAGGTAAAAATAGGATCATTTTCTCTTTGGTGGGATTTCTTCTATTTATTCATGTTTGTTGAGATAGTTATCAAAAAGCTTGCATGGCATTATTTTTTTTCTAGGGCCAAATTGTATAAGCATATGAGGGAATACAGTCTCTGTTACTGTGGGTTATCATTCAAAAGTGTAAGTTTTACGTCTCCACATTTCTTTAGGTTCAGGTACTAACTGTGCATATGCCCAAAGAGTTTTCTTCTGTTAGATGCTGCAGATTTTCCCAAAGTACAGATCTTCTAGTTTAAACAATAATGACATACATTATGTAGCAATGTGTATTGTGAAAACATTTTATCTAACGAGTGCATTTTCTTTTGTAATTACTCTAGTTATCAAGGCTTATAGAATGTTTCAAGGATCCTGAAGGTGCACTGTCTGGTGTTATAAAAGAGAAGTAATTTATCTTTTTAGGGAGAAAAACTTTTACCTTGCCTTGGGTGGTGGAGAGGAAGACTTGTATGCCCCTACTAACATAACTTCAAAATATATAAGGCAAAAATATTCAGAATTAAAAGGAGAAATAGACAAATTTATAACCATAGTTGGAAACTTTTGTGAATCACTTCTAGTAATTGATAATGGCAGCAAATTTAAAAAAATTAATAAGGATGTATGTTCGACCAAGATATTTAATAAAATTTGTTTAATTGAAATACACACACAGACCCAACGCTTGACAGTTGCAGAGTACATATTTTTTAATGGCACAAAGAAAGTTTACCAAAATTGATCATCTGCTGGACCATAAAGCAAGTTTTTAAGAAAGTGTCAAAGGCTTAAAATCACAGAGATTATAGTCTCTGACCACAGAGGAATTAAACTAGAATTAAATAACAAAGATAGCCAATTGACAGACTATAGGAAAAAACATTATGGATGGGAAAAAAATTGGTAAAAATTCTAATTTAGTTCATGATAAGCAATTGTGTTTTTGTAAAGTTTTTACTTTTATTGTAATTATAGCCTTATATTTAAAGCATGCCCTTTGTCAACAGCATATAGTTTGGTCTTGTTTTGTTGTTGTTGATATTGCTTTTAAATTTGTTCTGACAATTTTTGTTTTGAACTGTTTTTTCCATTTTGATTGAACTGGTTTTTCCATTTTACACTTAATATATTTATTAGCATAGTTAGGTTTAGACCCATTGTATTGCTGCTTTGTTGTTTGAAAATGTTAAACTTTTTTCTGTAATTTTTCTTTTCCTGCTTTCTCTTGGATTGATCATGTATATTCCTGCTTTTGCATTACGTGCTTTCTTCTCAGTTAGCTTTTTAAGTTTATCCTTGTGGTGGTTATCACTGGCATTTCTGTGTGCTCTCCTGTTCTGCTGCAGTGTGCCTTAGGGAGTGTGCTTCCAGATCATTCAAGGACCAACCTTGTGACTACACTGACCTTCTCTTACCCTTTTTGGAGTTTGTCATCTTTTCTTACTTTATATATTATGTTCTGTATATTTTTATGCTTGGGGTTGACCAAGCTCCTTCAATCTGTGCATTGGTACCTCTTCTCATGGCATTAGTTTATGTTACTGTGGGATAAGTACCACAAGCTAGTGTGGTAGTAGCAAGGAGTGGATTGTCCCTAGGGCCTCCAGAGAGAGAGTACAGCCCTGCCAGCACCTTGGTTTTAACCCAGTGATACTGACTTTGGACTTCTGGCCTCCAGAACTGTGAAAGAAAACACCTCTGTTGGTTTGAGTCACCCAGCTGGTTAGAGCAGCCCCAGGAAACTAGTACTGAGTGGAATTGCTAGGTCCATGGGAACTCCCTGGGGAACTTTTTGAGGAGCTGTCAAACTGTTTTTCCAAAGTGGTTGCACATTTTATGTTCCCATCAGTATGGGGGGGGGTCCCAGTTGTCCAAAACCTTGTCTGTGTTTGTTATTGTCTGTCTCAGATTGTGGCTATCCTAGTAGGTGTGAAGTGGTGTCTTATTGTGGCTTGGATTTGCATTTCTCTAAGGACGCTGGGTGTTTAGCATCTTTTAATGTGCTTATTGGCTATTTGTATATCTTCTTTGCAGAAATGTCTATTCAAAGCTTTGTCAATATTTAATTGGGCTGTTGGTCTTTATGTTGTTGAATCATAAAGTGGTATAATTTTAGTTCTGACATGAGATCTATGGTCCACTTGCATTGTTTTGTGTATGATGTGAGGGGCAGGCACAGTCACTCTGGGAAGCCTTGGCCATTACCTCTGCGGGTATTGATTCTGCCACTTTCTCCATCCCGTTGTGTGCCTCCTAGGTGCTTCAGCTGTCTCATAGCTTGTTTATGCTCTTTTCTGTTGCTTCTATTTTTTTTTTTTCCAATTTATGCTTCAGTTTGGGTATTTTCTATTGATCTGTCTTCAGCTATCTTAGACTGCTGTTTTAACTTATCCAATCAGTTTTTGATTGGACGTATTATATTTTTTAGTTTTGGAATATCTATTTAGTTATTTGTTTTATTGTGATTACTTGAAATTCTCATTTCTATCCCTTTTGTGCATTTTTCTCTCTTTTTAATTAACTTATAATAATTATCTTAAAGACTTTGTCTGCTAACTCCCAGATTTGAAGCAATTTCTGGTTTTCATTGATTTGCCTATTATTGCCTCTTTATTTTATAACCTGTGGGTTTTTTAAAAATCTAGACTTTTTTTTTAGTATGATATTAACAGCTTGTAGTAGGAAGGGAAAGAACAAGGCAGACATTGGTCCTTTGGTCAACTGGAAGTAAGGGCTTGTTTTTCTGGGACTGCCTGTATCATATGCTGATTACTTTGGTTAGATAATAGGATCAATAGCGTTAAAGAAAGAAGAGGCCTGTGTAACCTAAGTGATTAGTGGAAGGTCGGGGATATGCATGCCTTACCTGTTCATTTAATTCTCAAATGCGGTGTGAAGATAGACACTGAGCTAAATGTTTTGGAAAGGATAATTATCTTGCTGTTGTGACTTAGTATGTGGTTATGATTAAGATCTGTGCTCTTTAGTATAAAGTATTTATTAGTATCTGTGATCTCCTGTAATCTGTAATTTATTTGTGTTTTGGCATTGATGTATGATTAGCTAAGGATATTTTAGTTAGTGATAAGCTTTTTACTTAGTCTCCTAAAAAGAATGTCATTTCTTACACATTCATTATTTTTGCAGTATAGTCAAAATATTCAGGTTACTAAATATTTGAGGGTTCTTCTCTTAAGGATGAGAAGATATTAGCTTGTAAAAGTAAACTTTTGTGTTTACTGTACTAATCTGAATGGGTTCTTAACATTTATCATGCTGATGATAATCCTATAATTGTATTGTACTTTATATCCTCAAGTTTGTGTACAGCGTACTTTTCTTCTTCCTTTTTGGATTTTTTTTTTTTTTTAGAACACGACTTGATGAACTGAGAATGTTCTTAGAGAATGAGACTTGGGAACTTTGCCCTGTTAAGTCAAATTTCAGCATCTTGCAACTTCATGTAAGTGTCTCCCTTAAAAACAAAGAAATCTGTCTTTTAATGATCTTTTTTTTTGGAAAAAAAAAAAAACCCACAGGTATATGAAAGCGTTTATAAAATAAGTTAAGGAATAGTGTCTTATCATCCTTCCTGGAAAGTCGTTAATAGCAAACCTCTTTTACAAGAATGACCCTTTTGTGGATGTGAAAATCTGTCTTCTTTTACAGCATTCAGTTTACATACTTTGGGGAAACTCTTGCCTTTAGAGTCATAGTTAAAAAGATTCTTTTGAATTCAGAGTAGAGTTTATTGCTGTATTTAAATTTGGCAGAAAATTAATTATTTTTTGATAATGTTTAATAAAATGCTTATTTGTATTTGTAGAATATTTTGTCATTTTTAAAGGGACTTATAGGTTCTTAATTTATGCTGCAATTCTTAAATTTACCTGTAATGAGAAAATGTCTCAGAAATGAAAAAGGCACTTATAAAAAATACTCTTAACTAATTTTTATTAGTTAATTGATACATTGAATCCTTACAGACCAAATATGCAATCTGTAAGAAAAAATCTTTAATTGGTTTGATCTTTCTCTTGGTTGAAATGCTTTGTAGATAAACATTCTTGTGTGAAAGATTGTACACTACAAATACCAAACGTCAAGATGCAATCCATATGTTTAGATTCCTGCTGAGAAAATACAGTGGGTTTAGTTTTTGCCTTTGGAAGGAATTGCTTTCAGAGGCAATTATCTTATTCTGGATAAATGTAAAGAATATATGATGAGATTGTCTTTATAGGGATTGTCTTTATGCTCAGATGGTACAATAGCTTCTTATCCAGTTTTATTTTATTGCTTTCCTAACATAGAAATGTTAAAAAAAAAAACTGGAACATGTTGATTTTATTATGACTACTTTAAAGACAATGAAATTAACATTAATTTTAATTTGCATTAACAAAATAATTAACATTAAATTAACATAGGATTTAAGAGTTCTAAAAGAACTAAGGTAATTCCTTAACATTATTTAGGAATCTAGGTTTAACATTAATTTTAGAATATCTATTTAAATAATGGTATTTGACACCTGGTGTGATTCCGTCCTGCATGGCTGTTCTTTCGAGCAGTAGTCGTTTACCTCCATCCGCCTTCTCTCCCACCTAAGTGTGCGCCACCACCCTATGGAGGATTTGATGGACATAGACATGAGCCCTCTGAGGCCCCAGAACTATCTTTTCAGTTGTGAACTAAAGGCCGACAACGATGATCACTTTAAGGTGGATAATGATGAAAATGAGCACCAGTTATCTTTAAGGGCGGTCAGTTTAGGGGCTGGTGCAAAAGATGAGTTGCATATTGTTGAAGCAGAGCAATGAATTATGAAGGCAGTCCAATGAAAGTAACACTGGCAGCTTTGAAGATGTCTGTGCAGCCAACAGTTTCCCTTGGGGGCTTTGAAATAATACCACCCGTGGTCTTATAGTTGAAGTGTGTTTCAGGGCCTGTGCATATTAGTGGACAGCACTTAGTAGCTGTGGAAGATGCAGAGTCAGAAGATGAAGAGGATGAGGATGTAAAACTCTTAAGTATATCTGGAAAGAGATCTGCTCCTGGAGGTGGTAGCAGGGTTCCTCAGAAAAAAGTAAAGGTTGCTGCTGATGAAGATGAAGATGATGACAACGATGATTTGATGATTAGGAAACTGAAGAAAAAGCTCCAGTGAAGAAATCTGTATGAGACACTCCAACCAAAAATGCGCAGAAATCAAACCAGAATGGAAAAGACTCAAAACTGTCAACACCAAGATCAAAAGGTCAAGAATCCATCAAAAAACAGGAAAAAACTCCTATAACACCAAAAGGACCTAGCTCTGTAGAAACCATTAAGGCAAAAATGCAAGCAAGTATAGAAAACGGTGATTTTCATGCTGGGCTCGGTGGCTCAGCCTGTAATCCCGCGCCTTTGGGAGGCTGAGGTGAGTGGATTGCCTGAACCTGCGGGTTCGAGACCTGCCTGGGCAGCGAGACCTCATCTCTACAATAAATCAAAAAATCAGCCCGGTGTGGTAGCGCATACCTGTAATTCCGGCTACAAGGAAGGCTGAGGAGGAAGGATCGCCAGAGCCCAGCAGATCGAGGCTGCGGTGGCCGGAAGCGGCCACTGCACTCCAGTCTGGGCGACAGAGTGAGACTCCAACTCAAAAAAAACCAAACAAACAGAAAAGAAAACGGTGATTCTCTTTCCAAGGTGGAAGCCAAGTTCATCAATTATGTGAAGAATTGCTTCAGATGACTGACCAGGAGGTTATTCAAGATCTCTGGCAGGAAGGAAATCTCTTTAAGAAAATAGTTTAAACAGTTTGTTAAAATTTTCCATCTTATTTCATTTCTATAAAAGTTAATATCTATCTTTTTTATAATGCAGAGTGAGAACTTTCCCTACCGCGTTTGATAAATGTTGTCCAGGTTCCATTGCCAAGAATGTATTGTCCAAAATGCCTGTTTAGTTTTTATAGATGGAACTCCACCCGTTGCTTGGTTTTAAGTATGCATGGAATATTATGATAGGACATAGTAGTAGTGGTGGTCAGACATGGAAATGGTGGGGAGACAAAAATATACATGTGAAATAAACTTAGTATTTTAATACAGAAATTGTATTTGAGTTTTCATTTAACCATCAGATTGTGTGTTACTTGGTGTAAGCATGAGACAACTTTTTAAAAAGGCATGCAGGTGAGCATTCTCTCCTCTAAAGTAGCTACCTTGAAAACCATTCACAACCTCATGTTCACTTATCACCTTTAGTCCTGTAGATTTGGTCTTTAAAAGTTTGTCTCATGAATGTATATTCAACCCTTGTTTAAATTGTAAAAATAATAGCATGATTCTTAGGCAGTATGATGTATCTGATTAAATGTGTCACTGAAAGGTAAAAAGAAAATAAACACGTCACTTAACACAACAAGCTAATATACCTCTTAAGAATTTAAGAATATTATTGAATATGAAAAAATTTAAATTTGGAATTAGTTTTTTTAGCTATAAGAAAAATGTTTATTGAATTTTGTGGTAAATTGTCAAATGAAGAACTTTATAATTCAGAGGAACTTCAGAGATTATTGTCAAATGAAGAGCTTTGTAATTCAGAGGAACTTCAGCGATTACTCCAGCTTTTCCTCTCATTAGCTCTGTGGTGTTGGCCTTGGCATCAGATCTCTCCAGAGTGCCTAAGTTTCCTCATCTGGCAAATGCATGGTTTAGACCAGGTATTCCAACTTTTTAGCTTCGGCACTTGCAGTTCTTTAGTCTGGGTTGATTCTCTGTTTTATAGCTGGGATAATTGAGGCACAGAGGCCGGGTGACTTTCCCAACATCATGTAGAAGGCATGTCATGGGTTATGGCAGGTCAGGGAAGAAGACATGTAGTCTGGTCTCAGCATGTGTTGTGTTCCTGCTTCTTGGTGTAAAAGAAAAGCAAATGGAAGCTTGTAGGAATCAGCATAAAAAAGGAAGATAGAGACCTCATGCTTTGTTCTTGATGTATTTGCATAGAGTGTCTTAAATGGTACAAGCATGTGAGTAAGCAAGTAGTTTAACAACAACTAGTTTTTATAAATGACTTTTTAAAAGGAATTTTGCTGTAGAAGGTATTATTTAAATTTCTTAAGTTATTTTCAAAAATTTTCCAGGTAAGCCAAAACAAATATAACAGTGTTTTAAGTGACATCACTGACTAAGTTGTCTTTAGGAAAACGTTTAAACATGTGTTTCCAAGTTTGTGCTTTCAGACACCTTACAAGATTTAAAAGTGAATGATCTGAAGAACAGGTTTTTTTCCCCTACTAACTCTACATTTACATTTGTGGAATATGTGTATTATATATTTGAATTTTATTGTTGCTGCTCAAAGGCATCTTCTCATTTTTCACTGTCTAGGAATTCAAGTTCATGGAGCAGTCTCGTTCCCCATCAGTCTCCCCTAGCAAGCAGCCAGTTTCCACATCTTCAGAAGCAGCGACCTTGTTTGAGCAATACTGTAGTGGTGGGAATCCTTTTGAAATCCAGGCCAACCACAAAGATGAGGAGACAGAAGATGTCTTGGCTTCTAATGGGGTACGTGGTACATCTTGTGAGATACATGTGAGAGGTCTTTTTTTGACAACGTTCTACTCAGTGAGCAGAGTCATTTACTAGACTTACTTCTCTGTCTACCATCCCTCCTACCTGTATAGTTGATGCAGTTGTGATGTCACTTGTGTAGCCCATCACTTTGTGCTCTGTTGAAACTGTCCTCTTGAACAGTACCAGACTTTATGTTTGCTGTGTGTTCTCTTAGGTTCTCATCAGATTACTGATCAAGTAGTAGTATACTTTTTTCACTGAATGTTTATTTGATTTATTGTAGACAGATGAGCGAGGGAATAGATCATCCTCACTTTTTTCTTGACTTCCTTCCTTGGTAACGTAGTCATTTTCCACATCTCTTTACCTAAGAGAGGGTAATGTTTTGCTTGGTGCCTGGCTGGGATGCTTTTAGAATTTAAAAGTACAATTGTATTAACAGTACTTTGAGCAAATCAAAAACAGCTTTAACTAGAGGCAGTGTGAGTTAATGGGTAAGTTTGAAAGCAGGTAATGAATATCACCTTTATATTTATTAGCTGTATGGCCCTTGGTGAGTTATTTTAACTTTGTGACCCTCGGTTTCCCCAGATTTACAGTGAAGGGAACACTTGCTTCATGGTGACCTACAGGCTGTTTCACAGTATTCCATTTGGCCTAGGATGTTGATGGGTCCTTCTGATCTTCATAATTTTTAGAGTGACTCAGTATAATTTTCATTTTAGATTTGATGAAGGTTAAGGGAAAACTATTTAGATCTGCCAAAAATCTTTTGAAGGACTTGACTTTTATTTTAGTTTTAAAACTTTCTTTTTGTTTGTTTAGTAAAGGTATATTTTTAAAAATATTGCCATGAAAATAGAACGTTGTCATGTTTTATCATGGCATGTATTATTTAAATTATTTCCTAGTCATCCATGTTTGAACCTATGATTCGGTGATTCTTTTTGACACTTTCCTCTGTGAAGTAGACTAAACTGAGAGGAATTAGAAGTCATTCTGATTATTTTGAAATAGTATGTTCTGTTGTAAGAGTGATTTGTTAATGGAAACTCATGTAGCTTGAGTCTCACTGTTTGCAGCAGTTGTGTTCTGTGGAGCTGTGGTGAGCACTAAATTAGCAAATTCTGAACCATTACTCCTAGGGGAAATATAGGTTGAGGTTCCTGTGTGACTGTGGTCCCAACATTTTCATTCAGCCTATCAGTAAGTAGTCTTATTTTGTGTGTGTTTCTGCTTAGAGATGCCTTTGTTAGTGGATTCATCAACATTGGTTTTTTGGCCAATAGCACTATCAGCCTTGCCTAGATGGAGCTTACCTGATACACACATTCTCTTTGTAAGGCACATTACAGCCTTCCTGCACTCAGCCACGCTGGGCAGCACTTTAGTCCTACCCATGGGGGCCATGCAAAACAGTGAGGTCACCAACAAAAGGCATGAAATGCAAACCATGTGACACTAGGTAGACCTTGAAAGGGAAGTTTGATGCTAGTGTGAGAGCCTAAGCAACGTGGCCAGGTACCCCCTTGTTGACCCTCTGCCGGGAACGTGCATATTGGATGACTCAATGTTTCTCTGTTCTGCACATGTCTAATAATGACCACAGAAGTATTGTAAGGATTTTAGTGAGTAGGCAAATTTACAAATACTGAATTCTCATCGAGTATTAACTGTGCTGTGAGTCACAAGGCTGTTGTTATAATCAGGAAGCCCTAGTGTGTGTAGAAGGCTTTCTGCATGTCGTCAGGTCACTAGGTATAGGAGAAATGGAATGCTTGTTTGCAGTTATTAATGTGTGATCCAGCCTTTCCAGGTACAACTTAGGTCTTTGGGAGCCAGGTTCGCATCTAAATATAGCCTGTCATAATGCCTCTGTATTGACAGACTCTCAAAAAGGCATTGCAGAGGTGGGAACTAACTTCTTTCCGTGTGGTCATCATGCTAGTTTCCTCAGCTGTACTATGGGAATCAGACTTCCTGAGAATTGTTTGTAAGATTAAATGAATAGTCAATGAAAGCACTTAAAAACTGAGTGTTGGCTGGGCACGGAGGCACACACCTATAATTCCAGCACTTTGGGAAACTGAGGTGAGAGGATTGCCTGAGCTCACATGTTCAAGACCAGCCTGGGCAACTTGGTGAGGCCTCATCTCTACAATAAATCAAAAACTTAGCCGGGTGTGGTGGTGCACACCTGTAGTTCCAGCTACTTGGAAGGCTGAGGTGGAAGGATCGCCTGAGCCCAGCAGGTTAAGCCTACAGTGGCCATGAGCATGGTACTGCCCTCCAGCCTCGGTGACAGAGTGAGACTCCAACACAAAAAAAAAAAACAACAAAAAACTGAGTGTTGGCTCTTACAGGATCCTGTGACTCTGTAACATGAACAGATGATGATGCTGCCTCTGTGGGTTCCACAGTCCTTTTCTATACCAGTATTGGACCTGGTGCCATAAAGATGATACAATGTTAGTAAGAGAGCCTTCCTCTCAAGACTAAGGCCACCATTCTTGTCCTTGCTCTCAGCAGTGCCCTGGGTGCTGGACCTCATTTTCTAAGCTGACCTGGGAATTAAATCTTATCATAATGAACTAGAATGTCAGCATGTGTGTTACATGTGTTTACTAAGCTGAACTAATGCCTCCAGAGAGCCAAAATTGAATATGCAGCCTCTTAATGAATTAGAAAACTGAAATAATTTGGATGAAACCTGTGGAAGACTTTAAGTAAGAAAATCAAATGTACGCTCTTTTTTTTTATGCCTAGAGGAGTGTTTGTTTTGTTTTTTGTTTATAGAGATCTGATTTTGCTGGGCATTTACAAACTTTTGTAGTTATAATATTTTCTTTTCTTTTTGAGCTGCTTACGGTAGGATGACGAAAATGACAATGGAAAGATAATCTGATTCATGGTGGCAAAATTAAAGCTAAATTATTATGAATTTTTGTATATTTAGCTATTTCTTATAAAATTGGGTACTTCATTGTGTACCCAAGAAAGGTGACTCTTTATACCCATGTTGAATGTCCTATGTTCTCTTCAGTACGAATCTGATGAACAAGAAAAGAGTGCCTACCAGGAGTATGACAGTGACAGTGACGTCCCTGAGGAGCTCAAACGGGACTATGTGGATGAGCAGACTGGCGATGCTCCCGTGAAAAGGTGACAGTCCTTGGGTTGTGTGCGTTCAGCATTTTATCTGATGCTCTTAACATGTCATAGGACTTCCTTTGAAGGTTAAGAAAAAGCAAAAACTAATAGTTTTGGTGGTTATAATGTCACATGGCAGGACTAACAGTCCATAACAGATAAGTTTTCAGGAAAAATAAAATAGTTATATGAAAAATTCTACTTGGCAAACCTTCATTGGCATTTCACAAATCCATTCATTTAACTCTAAGTTTGGGATATTATTTTGTAAAAAAAGAAATTGATTTGGTCATTTAAAAAATTTATTTGAAATTATAGTTTTAAATCACTTTGATGTATACAGCTTGTTTGATCACGTCTTTGTAGCAAGATTCTAGTTCCTTTGTTTATGGAGTAACTAAGTTAGTCATGCTTACAAATCTTTTAAAAATTGCTTTATTACCTTGATGAAATGTTGGGCATAAACAAAGAGATAAACAGTTTATGTAGAAGAAAACTTTAAATTTATGCAATCAAATATGCCTTGGGGGCAGTTTATGTTGTACTCAGATTAGAACACCTCAAGGGAAAGAGTATTTGTTTGTTTGTTTTTTGCCTCAGTCTAGTAAACACAGTCCCCTCTTATTTTCTCTGGTAAACACAGAAAGTCCCCACTTATTTTTCCTGTATTTGTGTTCACTATTTGAACTTATGTTGCAGTTTCCTGTTAGCAGTTGTCAAGTTTTGTTTTATGACAAACTGACCTCTTCAAAACTATAATTATATCAGAACTTTAGTACCTTCTTCCAGGGTCTGATTCTGGTACGTTGACTGCCAGACATTTTGTGACTACAGATACACTTTTAAAAAATGATACATTCAAGTATCCGCCTCCCTGTTCTTTAACTCCAAGGTACTGTTTGATCAGCTTGGAACCTTGACTAAAACACTTCTCTTTCAGAAGTGAACAGTTCACATAGTTGTGGATATTTTATTTGAGAAAGTTTCTTCTGTCGGTGTCTGCATTTTATGATATTTAATCTACAGGTGTGATCCACCGGGAGCCAAATGGAGCTGTTTTGTTTGGCTTCTTTATTAGACGTGTGGGGCGCATTTTGGTCAAAGGAAAGCTCTGTTTGAGTTGAAATGAGCAGGGAGGGCTCTCTGCTAGCACATGTGTGGGCCTCCGTTTCTGGTGGCGTTACTGCAGCCTCCCAAGGTGTCTGACCTGCCCTGAGAAGAGTGAGTCATGTGAAGCAGCAACTGAAACCACCCAATCAGTAGTCCCTGTCCATTCTTACTTCCATATCTCTTAAGCTTTTTGCTGTTTCTCTTATTTCACCACTACTCTTCTGGTCCATGCCAACTGTTTCTGTGCCTAATTGTTGAATTGCTCCCTGCCCTTAGCTTCTGGTCTTTGACCTGCCCCTTCCAGTTCACTCTCAGATATGAATTCGAACTTTTTCTCAGAGTCAAGTTCTACCATGCCGTTCTCCTGCTAGAGCCTGTGGTGGCTCACTACTGCCTTGAGATGAGTTCTTGCTCTCTGGGACGATGGCTTTGTAACTGTCTCTGCTCACTACCTGCCCTCACCGCCCTCCCCTTTTCCCTCTCCGCCTCTGCTAATGCGGGGCCTTTTCCAAGCGCCCTTCCCCCCCATCCTGCTACACAGCTGGCTTTTTTTCTGTACTTGCCATGTAACTGTTACTTTTCTTTTGAATCCGGTACTGCTCCTTAACCCCAGCACTGCCATCATCTCTACACTTAATTCAGATTCTAAGGAGGGTATTTTTTTATGTTTATAGGTTTTGAAATCAGGAAACATGGTACATTTGCACCTAGGCGTATAACTTCCCAGGAAAATCTGTTTTTTAAAGTGATGTCGCTTTTTTAATGATTGATAATGTCTTGAAATCAAATAATTCATTATAATACTTTATTCCTTTGCATAGTAAGACTTTAATAGTGAGTGAAGACTGGTGGCTAAACTGAATGATTTATTGGTTTATGACTTGACAACCCTGCTTGCAACTCTGTTTTGTTTTTCCAAATTAAGTGTTTCTCGAGAAACCCTCAAAAGCAGGAAGAAATCGGATTACAGTCTAAATAAAGTGAATGCACCTATCCTAACCAATACAACGTTGAATGTAATAAGACTCGTTGGTAAGTAGCTATACCTGTTTTTAAAAAATGTAGCAGTTAAATGAATCTACTTTTGTTTCTTAATGATATTTTCCTGGGGTTTTCATTGTATGGTCACTGTACGAATAAGTGGTTAATCTCTCTATCCCTGCATTGAGGGAGTTAAGATGATCGTACCTCAGTGCTTCTCACCTTGAATGTTTCAAATAGCATAACACTAATACTAATTCCAGTTTCTCTTTTTTAGCTTCCTATTTGTTACATCTTTGTGTATTCTAATTTTTCTAAAATATTTTGGTTAACATGCCAAAAATTCTGTAGGAAGTTAGAGGTCCACACAGGATAATGGTTGTACCAGTTTCACATTTACACAACATTTTCCTACTTAGTTGTGCCATACTTCTTTACGATTTTCCTGTCAGGTAGGCAGAGTGAATAGTGACTGGCATTTTCAGCCACAAGGGTTTACAAGCTAAGTGTTCACATCCTAGAAAGTGTTGTTCTGATTACAGATAAGACCTTTATTGATGATTTTGTAGAAGGCAAACAACATGGAATGACACTTTAAATATTCAGGTTTGAGGATGATGTGGATTTTTTTTAAAGTCAATATTTCAACATCTGATGTTTTCAGCCTTCTCATCTCTCAAGTAGGTCTGTATATTTGGCACATATAGAGATGTCTTCTCACTTTCATTTTCATTTATACCAGTCAGGAATTTTAGTGTTTTTCTGTAAAAAATCAGTATTCTATTTATAGAGATGGCGTTTATGGAGAAGGTATTTACATATTGCCTGGTGTGGGTAATCTTAGGTCTGATGAAGTGGTTTGTGTTCTTTAAGATACTTTCTAAACTTTAGTAATGAATAGGATAAAATGTGCAGAATGCTTTTTAGGAGTCACACTTTCTTTAGAGCGAGAAAAGCCAATAATGAATTAAGCCAGTTTAAAAGGATACAGAAGTAGTCATGGTGCTTTTGATTCTAAAAGGCATATATTTGTTAGAGTCAAATAAAATGTAAGGCTAAAACAGAATGGGGGCGTAATCATGTTTTACCATATCACGTTAGATGTAGACATCAGAAGCAGCACTTAATTCCTTGATAGGCATAGGGAAGATGAAGGAACAGCGAATTTCCCATTCTCATTGTCTGAGAAGAGGATGTGTGCCCTTGTAATAATGGGGGCAACGTGTTCCTGGCACTGAAACCAGAAGATCAGGTGGCCCTGTGGTGAGCCTTGTGCCACCATGAAGCACTGCCACTCTTCTATCCCATAGTACACAGAAGCGTATAAACACAAGATGACTGAGTGGAGAGACTAGGAAACAGCCACAGTTATGGATGCTTAGGAGGTAGACCTTTCAAGATGCGAGAGCTGGGACCGTGCAATTCCTTGTGCCCTCTCACAAGGCCAAGTACACAGTAAGCCTTCAAAAAGTGTTTGTTGAGTGAATGAGTATGCTTGTGTTTGAAATTCTTTTTTCTGATGAGTGAGAAGCAGCTAGTCTTTTCCTGAATACACATTTAAAATAGGCTTAACCTATGAATATTTCATTTTTGTATCTTTTCTCAAGATTAAGTATATGAACAATGGTTAGTCTTCTCAAAAATGGAGAGGAACTTTATATTCTAGATAATTTCAGCCCCCTTATTTGCATTCCGCCTCACTTGACTTAGTCATTTCTATTTTTCTTTTGCTGATTAATATAACATTTAAAAATTTTTTTCTTCACAGTGTCACACATTCTATGGTTAGCAAAGTACAGCTTAAGTAATTGCATGTTTTGTTGCTAGGGAATATCTATCTAATGATCCAGAATATCTTAGGAGCACATATTTTAAATATTTTTCAAATGTGATTTTTAAAATATGTCTGAATTTGTGAAATAATTGCGAAAGATGCTTCTGAAACAATAGACTTGTAAATAGGAGTAAGTAGAATCTGAGTGAAATGATTTTTACTTTCCTTTGATGTATACTGGTGTTTGTGTTTCTCTTCCTGACCTTCTATTTAAAATCCTTGCTCACATAAGTTAAGAAAGATGTACTGAGTTCTTAGATAAAGAAAGGATTTGAGAGTAGATACTTCCATGAAAGTGGATTTGCCATTTTTGTACTGCAGTGCTATGTTTTCTGTTGTATCCTGGTGTCTTAATGATAACAATTTAAAATTCCTAGCGGGTACCTGAAGTGGAGCCAGCACTTGGATTGTTTGCTCATTTGGAAATTAGGCACATGGTCTGTGTTAGCATCTGCAGGAAGAGGTGTAGGGCATTTTTAATGGAAATGCTTCTTTCCCTGCTACTTTTCCATAAACAAGAAACAACTAGGGCTCATGGTTACTCTTGTTTGGCTTAGCCCCGCTCTCATGAACTTGTCAAATGTAATGGAAGTCTGTGAATGCAGACTCTGCCTGGTTGTGTGTCCAGAGGAAGAAGGATGATGGAACGTGGCGTCTCAAGGAAGGAATGAGGAGAGGTGTTCTTTGCTCTTTGAATGTGTTGTGATGGGAGATGCTCTTGCCTCTGACCCCGATTCCCAGGGCTGGGACTCGGGGATTGGGTAGGACCCTCCACGTGCCCTTGTTCCTCCCGCCTTTTTCACTTTTGCTGTGGTATAAAAGCTTGTGAAAGAAGCACTTTTGCTCTAATATGTTGTATCTTATTTTATTTAACTTAAACATTTCTGAGGAAATTATTTTAAATGCAATCTCCTAGAAAAGAGAAACTGCATTGTTGTGTTTGTAGATCTCATTTGTAAGAGTGGCAGAGTTCAAAAAAACCTGAGAAACAGTGAATTATAGTCAGAGGGCAATGTGATCATAGGTGTCACTTATTCACGGCTTCCCAGCATAACTTTCTGAGTGACAGAGCTGCTCATAACCTGCACTGTCCAAGTGTGGCGAGTGCAACTGAGGCGTGCAGTTTTCATTTTATTTAAATGTTGGGTATGGTGGTTTTGTTGTCTTATTCTACTCATAAGCTAACTGATTTTAGTTTTGTTCTACCTAACTTTTTTTTCTTTTTTTCTTTTCAGGGAAATATATGCAGATGATGAACATTCTTAAACCAATTGCCTTTGACGTTATCCATTTCATGTCTCAGCTGTTTGATTATTACTTGTATGCAATATATACCTTTTTTGGTCGGAATGACTCAGTAAGTTCACCTTTGGAGGGAAAATGTTTTTCTTTTAAAATTTATTTATTTTTTAAACATCAGGTGAAGTTTTTCATTCTTTATAACATTATTTTGAGAATTGCATGTTTAGATATAGTTATTGATATCATCTTTCTGTCTGCCTAATTGTCTCATTTATATATTAATTTTAAGCTTTGCTATGATAAACATATTGTATATTATTTGGGTTTTTGGCAGAAAAAGTGCAACATATGTTTCTAACCTTGACATATTTTGGCAATGAAAATGTGCAGGTTGCTTTATTTAAATCTGGCCCCATGTATAAATTGCAGCACAGTAAATGAGACACTTTAAATATTGGCCAACACCCTTAGCAGTCACTACTACATTCAGGAGATAATGATAAATATTTGTTAAAATAATTGAAAATCTTTGAACTGAACCATCTACCTGCCACTGAATTAATGTTTAGGTGCCTCATTTCTGTGTTTCCAAAGCTCTTGTTGAGTTTATCGTTTTCTACTCCTAATGGAGGATAACACAGTATTAAGCAAGTAACTGATCTGTTATTTGAAAATGATGATGTGGTTTCCTAGATGTTTGACATTTTTCTGTGTAAAAGCGTACCGTCGGGTTCATAATACTAAAAACGTGTAAAGCTTAATATATAACTACATTCAGCATATGACTGTGTACATCCTTGCAGTGATCACATGCATGTCAAAGATATGATTCTTTAATATAGGATCTGAATTTCTTGTGTTCTTAATTTTGAAAAATGTTCCTTAGAAAGATTGCTAATATAATGTTTTATTTACAATTGCCTAAAAAATCTTTAGAAATAAATTTAACAGGTAATTTAATGGACCTATACACTGAAAAAATTAAAGCATTTGAAAGGGAATTAAATACTATGTAAATAAATAGTAAAAAGATGTACCATGTTCATATATTAGAAAACTCAATATTATAAAGGTGAAGGTGGCAGTCTCCCTAAATCTATAGATTTGGTACAATTCCAGTGAAAATAAAACTTTATTTGAAGAAATTGAAAAGCTTATTTTAAAATTGATACAAAAAGCAAAAGATCCAAATAGCCCCCAAATTTTTGAAGAACAAAATTGACAGGCTTATGTTCTTGATTTTAAAGACTTACTCCAAAGTTACAGTAATCGAGACAGTATGGTATTTGCCTAGCGAGAGACACAGACCAGACATAGACCAGTGCAACAGAATGGAGTATATCAGTATACATATACTTATATGGTAAGCTGATTTTTGAAAAAACACCAAGGTAATTTGTTGATGAAGACAGTCCTTTCAACAAGTGGTACTGGAACAACTTGGATATATGTATGAAAAGATAAAATCTCAATTTTTTCCTCATACTGTGCACAAGAATATAAGTAAACATTGTTTATAAGTCTTCAGTAGAATTCCAAACTATGGAATTGCTAGAAAAAAACTTAGGAGAAAAAGTTTTTGACATTTGGGTTAAGCATATCCTCCTTTAAAAAGATTAAAAAAGCATGAACTGTAAAATAATATATTGATAAAATGGATTTCATAGTTAGCAATATTTACTTTTTGAAAGATAAAAAGGCAGGTCAGACTGGGAGAAAATCTTGGAAATCTCATTGAGAAAAGACAAGTTTATACAATGTGTAAACAGCTCTTACAGACTCAGTAAGAACACAATGCACTTTAAAAATGGGCAGAAGTTTGATCAGATTTATGCATTTTAAAAGAAGATGTAGAGAATGGCTATTTAGTATATGGGAAAATAGTCTACATCACTGGTCATCAGAGAAATGTGCCTTGCAATAATACCATCAGCCACGAGAATGGCTACAGTTAAAAGGTCTGACAATACTAAGAGATGACAAGGTTGTAGAATGTTTCAATCTGCTCCAACTGCCAGAACAAAATACCACAGACTGGGCTGCTTAAAGGACAGAAATGTATTCCTCACAGTTCTGGAGGCTGTTGCATCCATGATCAGGGTGTTGACCAGTCCACTTCTGGTGAGGACTCTCTTCCTAGCTTGCACATGGCTGCCTTCTCACTGTGTGGTTACATGCCTTTTCCTCTGCTCATCTGGAAGGAGCAGGAGGCTTCCACCTGGTGCCTCATCTTGCCCTGGATATACTAAAGGCCCCATCTCCAAATGCTGTCACTCCAGGGTTAGGTTTTCAGTGTGAATTTTGGCAGGACACAAACATTTAGTCCATGACGTGGAGCAACTAGAATCCACATACATTGCATGTGGAAATGAAACAGTACAGCCACTTTAGAAAACAGCGTGGAAGTACCTTATACAGCCAAAAAGATACTTAGTATTCAGATTAGAAATTTTACTTCTAGCTGTTTACCCAAGAAAGGTGAAAATAATGTATGTCCAGACAAACACACACACACACACACACACACACACACACACACGAATGTTCATGGTGGCTTTATTCAAATAGCCCAGAACTAGAACCCAAGTGCTTAATTGGCTAAATAAGTAAACGGCATCTATAAATAGATTGTGCTGTATCCATCCTGTTGAATACTATTAAGAATAAAAGAGCACAAAATAAAGGCTCACAACATGAATGAATTTCACAAGCATACTGCGTAGAAGAAGTCAAATACAAAAGTTTATAATGTGTGATTCCATTTATATGAAAAACTAGAAAAGACAAAAACTGGTGACAGGAAGTAGGTCAGAGTTAAGAAGTGTACATTGCAGCACTACCTCATAGCCACCAGAATGGTGCCACAGGGACAGGGACAAGGGTAAAGGGCAGGGGAACTTCCTAAATGGGGAGGGAACTCTTGGCTCCCATCCAAATACTTACCAGATCCCACCCTGTTTATCTTTCATCATAGACGAGATCAGGTGCATTCAGGATGGTATGGCCATGCACTCTTGTCTGTCTCAATTGTGGAGCTGTCTGCAAGCTTGTATTCAGTTACTAAAATTCATCACATGATATACTTAAAATGGCTGAATTTAATTTATATATAAATGATACCTTAATGAAAATAGAGGAAAAGTGGATTAATGAAGTTTATAAAACCTAGAGAAAATAAAATGTATTCTAAAATTAGCATATGAAATTAGTTCATGTTTAACTACGGTGTCATCATAGCTATGTTAGTGTGAGACTTTCTGACTCACGTCAGTCATTTCTTATTCTTGTGTCTCAGATGGGAGAGGAAGAGGACTGCGTGTGTGAGATGCTTGTGGACACACACAGTCACATAGCTCTAGGAATTTGCTCATGTGTACATATTTTATGGCTTACTGTCAGTGATAATGTTTTATATTTATTGACTCTTAGAGAGTACTTCAGCATTTTTCCAAATGCCTATAAGTATCTATGATTACCTCTTAATTAAATTGAATTATCACACAAAGACCTGACTAACTAACTGGCCTTTTATGTCTTAAAAGTCAAGTCATTTATGCTCTTGTGTGAAGGTTTTTATAAATGCTTTGACTTTGTTATAATGAGTAGAATTTTATATTGTGAAGTGTTTACTAAGCCTAGTAGGGAATTTCGTTGATTTTTGAATGAGGATTTAGGCTGTCTCTAAATCGTATATAAAAAAAATTAGAAACACTTTATGTTATTCTGCTTCTATATAAACACAACACAGTATACCTTAAATACAACTAAGGGTACTGTTTTTAAATATCTGAAAATCTCAAGTTTTGTAACTAAAAATAACCTGTGGGAAAGAAATTCAGGTCAACTTGCTCCTGATGATTTGTAAGCTTGAGATGTTATTGTGGCCTGAAAGTACCCACAGGTAAGTGATTCTTTGTTCCCTTGAGGGCGGGAGGCTTGAGTCTTTGCTTGATGTATTAGAATTTCTAAATGCAGTTTGGCTCTTAAGGCTACATATCTGAGTGAAAACTCATCAAACACCTAGGTTAATTTGAAGATATAACATTGCAAGGTCATCTCCAGGGCTGTGTAACAAGGCTCTTTTCTTTTTCAGTTGGAATCAACAGGACTTGGCCTTAGTAGTAGTAGACTAAGAACAACGCTAAACAGAATACAAGAAAGCCTTATTGATCTGGTAAGTGATGAATTGGAATTTGTTCTTTCGGGTCATAGAGATTAGCCATCCAGGCAGCAACGTTTGCTTATATGACCATTTGCATGTTGGGTAGCTGAATTCTCGGTGTTACAGCAGGTATGCATAGGCAGTGAAAAGGAGGCTGCTTATGGTCTGAGGAGCGAGAGCTCATGTACACGAAAGAACAGTGTCAGCTGTGTGCCCATCACAAGTTTATTGAGGGGAAAGAGGGCTGTGAAACACCGATGGCAGAGAACAACTGAAGGAGGAGTCTTAAGCTGGACTTTGAAGACCAGGTGTGGGGTCAGCAGACAGAAAAGGAAGAACACTATTCAAATTAAGGTACAGAGGCTGGGCAAGGGCCCTGAGGCAGAACCAGGCCCGCCCAGAGTTTGGCAGGTCTTGTGATTGGGGCTCTGGTGTATGCTGGTTTGGTTGTAGAGTGTATGGGACCAAATTATAATGGCATCGAAATTCAAAAAGAAAGTATGGATTTAGTTGCTGTGTAGTAGGGGACCCCCCCCAGTTCTTGACTGTGTGTGTCATCTGATGAAATGCATACTTGAAGATAGGTTAGATAGCAACTCTGGGGTGATTTCTCGTAATGTTTAAGCTAACATAAGCATTTAAAATAAGACCAAAAAAAACTGTGTGACTTGTCACTGTAGCCAGAAATGTGTGTTCAGAACGTTTCTCCACTCTACATTAACCTCGGGCTTTTTTCGGAATTTCCCAGTATTCCCTCATCCTTCCCTAAACAAGCAATCATTTTCCTCTTTTTTCATAAACCTTTTATTATGTGCATTTTCTGTCAATGAGATTTTTATAAAGCTATGAAATCATTCAGTCTTTTAAGAAATACTGAAATAATTGTTCCATGCCAGGCACGGATACTTCCTGTCTTCTGGAACTGGTATTTTATTGGAGCAGAGAGAAAATAAATGTGTACTCTAGCATGAGATGCTGACGAGCACCAAGATGAAACAAAGCAGAGAGTGGCGGAAGGGGTGTCTCTGGGCAGAGACGGGGTACCGTGACCCCTGTGCAGACCCTTCAGGGGCTCTGTGGGCAGAGAGATACGCGCTGTCCTCCTCCCTTGTCATTTGGAGAGCTTTCTGCCCAGGACGTCTTTAAAATTTTCTTAAAATATGCTCCTAGCACTTATCTTGGCACATAGCATTTCTTTAGCAAGTGCCCACAGTAGATGAATGAGCGCCATCCCCTGAGTTACCTGTTTCCCGGCTTAACTTAGCTTGGTCTCCTGGCTTGGGCGTTCATTTAACTTATGGTCTTTGTTTATAAAATCTGTGGACTTTCAACCCCATTGGCAGCTTTCTGGGATTCGATTCTGCCCCTCCTTGGCTGATGCTGAGTATAAACAGGACCCCAGATCCTGTGCCTGGGACCCTTGTCCATGGCTGGTTTCTCTTGCTCTGGCTAGAAGCCCTGAGGTTGTTGAATCAAGAGTCACCTGAGGCTATGGCATTCACCAGCCTCCTTTACCCTCCCTGTGTCACTGGCTTACAACTGTCACACCACTTTACAGGGTGTACCCTTAAGGGGCTGTGCTTCAGGTTTTGTCACATGGACATGAAATAAAGGACCAAGTCAACAGCATTTTGTTTTGTTTTGTTTTGTTTTTAGAAAATACATTTCTCATTTACTAGGCTTTGATCTGGGCTTTTTAAGCTGGTGTATCCATTTTCTTCATTTCATTAATTTGCATCTCTGTTGCCTGAGAATCTTTATTGCTTTCTTGCTACTCAAAACATTCTTTGGCAATTAAAATAACTTATAGCCTAATCAACCTGGCACCAACTTGACAGAAGTAATATTTTTTCTTATATTTCTCCTACATGTCAGTTAAAAATAAATACTTTTTTGGTAATTTTATTTTTTCTCTCTATATATTTTAATTATTACTTTTATTTAAGCTGTAAAAAGCAAGATGGAATTATGGTGATCTTAAAAATGCCACCTGATATCATTAAAGTAGGAATTCAGTGTAACTAAAGAAACCTGCTTGACTTGTGGAAGAATAGTCTAGGTCGGGTCTAGCACAGGAGATGCAGGAGCTGGTGTTGGGGTGGTGCCCATGTGTGTGCCAGGGTTTATCCCTCCAGAGGTGCTACCTGAGTGTGTGCTTTAAGACCTTTGGCCCACTTTCAATCTTTGACAATAAAAATGTCTTTTAATTCATCCAGAAAAGTATGTGAGGATTCTCCTTAGAGTAGTAGACTGGTGGCAGGAAAGGCTAAACATGTGCCCTTCATGTGAGAATAATAAAGATGGATTAAGATTTTGTGCCTCAGAGTCTTCAAAGCGTTATTATGTCCTTTGTTCTTGTCCTGGTGAAACTGAAACACCAGCCCAGTATGAGAGCCTTTTTTTTTCCTTTTCTGAGTCAGAGTCTGACTCTGTTGACTATGCTAGAGTCTAGGGGCACAATCATGGCTCACTGGGGCGTTGACCTGCTGGGCTCAGGTGATCTGCTTACCTCAGCCTCCTGAGTAACTTGGACTACAGGTGTGCACCACCATGCCCAGCTGATTGTTTTTTAAATTTTGTAGAGATGAGGACTTGCTATGTTGCCTAGGCTGGCCTAGAACTACTTGAGCTCAAGCAGTCATCCCTCCTCAGTCTCCCAAAATGTTGGGGTTACAGGTATGAGCCACCATATCCGGCCAACTTTTCTCCTTACGTACACAATAAGTGCATTTTCCAGAGCATGAACTTCAGCCTTTATGTAGATAATCCTTGCAATTTTTATGCCTAAAATGCCAGTGTCCACAGGGGAAAAAGGCAGGCAGCCCGGTAAAAGCCTTGTGAAGTGGCCTCCTGAGAACCAATCCATAAAGTAGCCCTAGGGAGGCTACCCAACATCTGTGTTGGGGCCCTGAGGAGGGGAGGGAATGCTTGGGCCTTTTCAACACCAGTGTAACTGAGGCACTGGAAGGAGGGGAGTGGTTGGCCCTGTCACTCTGGTGACTATCCCCTCAGGCTGCATTGGTTCCTCTCTGGCTGCCCTCTCCCTCCCCTCCCTCTTCTACCTCAATGGCTGGTTCCTGTGTGAATTCAGAGCCATGGCTTTGTCGCTATGCTGCCTCCCTGGTGATGTGCCTGGAGGCGTGTGTTTGGTGGTAACTCTGCCAAGTGAGTCTGTGGAGCTCCTGGCCGGTGTGAGTCTGTGCGAGCTGTTGGCAGGTTCCCATCAGGCCTGTTTCCTCCTGATGTGCCAGGGGAGCAAGATGGTGCTCAGGGGCCTCTGCCGTGCCCTGGGCTCTGGCTCTCCAGGTTTCTCCTTAGCCATCCCAGCAGGAGGCTCCTCTGTGCTGTGACCTGTGCTGGTGACTGTAGGTCGTGCAGGAGTCTCTCCATGACCGGGTGCTCATCCCTCCTGCAGCCCTACCCACTTCAGCCTGCAGAGTGTGCTTTGCTGGGATGGAGCACAGCCTGCCCGCTGGACTTGTCACTGTGTTTCCACCCCAGGGGCCGTGTTGGCTGCCGGGCCATGCTGCTCAGGGTCCTCCCCACCTTGGGACAATATTACAAGTCTCTGACACTGAATGCAGCCGCCATAGCAGTAGCTGGAGGGTGGGTGGTCTCCTGCACGGTACTCCCGTTAGCTTCACAGAGAAAGTATGGTTTCCGGGCCTGTCGCCGTGACGTCCTGGAGTACTTGTTGATGCCTGCTGTTGGCCCTCCTCCCAGAGTCCTGGGAACACACACACCCTCCTGACAGAGAGGCCCAGGGAGGTCACATGCATGCTTCACTGTGCATCCTGCTGTGCGGGACCGAGGGAGCATATCCTGCACTCTCCCTTTGTAGTCTGTGTGTTTGCAACACGGGTGTGCATGCAACCTCTGTCCCAGCACCCTGCCTGGAGTAGGACACCCAAAGGGCAGATTGTGATGAGGATGAGACAACTTGTAGGCGTCTGTGCTTTCCTGAACTCCAGGTAGACTGTGCCAGCCCACTGTTGTATGGCTTGTGCCATGTTGGGGACTCTTCCTGGATGGTGCCAGGGCTGCACACCCTATGTTGTGGCGTTCTGGCATCCCTTCCTCTGTGCTCACTGGCCTCCTTCTCAGCAGGAGTCTGTCCTCAGGTGGTGCACGCCGCAGTGGCTTCTAGCCCAGTTATTACCATGTGCTCGTCCTGCCATCTGGCGATCATACCAGGGTTACCTCGGTGAGATGGTTAAGCCACCCATGGTTTTGGACTTCCCAGCTTGGTCTCAAGGGGTTCTCATTTCCATTCTTGCAAGGGGCAGTCTCATGTCCTTCATGTACAGATTCTCAAGGGACACCTCCCTGTGGCCTCTGAACTTCTGTCAGTTCCCAGGTTCTTTGTATTGACAAACTCTGGGTCATGCACACACAGTGGCACATAGTTGGGTGATCAGATGAGGATCATTCTCACTAAGCAACACAGGAGTGGAAGAGCTGGCCCTAGATGTAGTTGATAATGCCCTAGAGCATTTTCATGGTAGTTCTTTGCCGCTGCAGATTTGCTCTTTAGGCTGTGTGTGCTGTGTTTTCAGGAAGTCTCTGCGGATCCTACGGCCACACTCACGGCTGCAGAAGAAAGGAAGGAGAAGGTCCCGAGCCCACACCTCAGTCACTTGGTGGTTTTGACATCTGGGGACACGTTGTACGGCTTGGCGGAAAGAGTGGTGGCCACGGAGTCCCTGTAAGTTGTTGATATTTGGGAAAATTAATAAAAGTAAGCTTTGGGCTGTCATATGTAGCTGCATGCAGGCCACTTGTCAGCAATCTTCTGTATCTGAGAAGTAGATCCCAGTGTCATTTAGCCATCGATATTCACACCTGCCTAATTAGAGAAGTGGAAGTGGAGTCTGTTCATTCCGATCTTTAGCCGCAGGCCTTACAGAGAACTGAATGTGCTGAGGTGTTCTTTATATTTTCTGTTGACGAATCATGAGCCCAGGGAAGCTATGGTGGCGTCAATTTCATCTGAAATCAAGTTGATTCTTGACACCAGCAAGGTCCCTTTGTGACCTTTATACATCTCCAAATGTGTTCATAGAATTGAAGCATGTAACTTCTTCTGTAAAGTGTAGTTCGGTGTGACTTGGCTTCAGTGCATATAACGCAAAGCCCAGACACACAGTGTATGTCCTGGGACTGTCCCGCCGCTGCCAGCTGAGGCTTCCCACTGTGAGGCCTCCTGCACATGTGGTCGTTATTTGCCTGGCTGAGGGCCACTGCTGCCTGCTGTGAGTATGCTCCAGTGACCCCGGAAAGTGTCAGAGGCTGCAGCTGTGAAGTCAGGCCCCGGACATCACTGGAAGGGGTCTAGGAGTGATATCCTATAGGACACATGACTGTTCCCCTTCACATCGGCTGTGCCAACTGGGTCCTGTCCTACAGGCAGAGCACTCTGACACTAGGCCTTGTGGGAACCTGGGAGTGCCTCTGAGGCTACTCTCTCACCTGGATCCCCATTCAGTGATGAGCTTGGCCTTGATAACCATGTAGACAGGACATGAACATGTCAAGTGGTAGCAAAAGGTGGTTCACGCAAGTGGAGAATGGTATGAATTGTTAAAGTTGTTCAGAGTTCTAAAAACGTGATTAACACAGAAATACCAACTGGCTGAAAACTGCACAACTTGTTTACACAGTGGTTTGTGTGTCTCCAGGGTGTCTGCAGGGCTTGTTTACAGGGTGGGCTGTGTGTCACCGGGGTGTGTACACAGCTTGTTTACATGGTGGGTTGTATGTCTCCAGGTGTCTACACTACTTGTTTACACAGTGGGTTGTGTGTCCCCAGGGTGTCTTCACAGTTTGTTTACACAGTGGGCTGTGTGTCCCCAAGGGGTCTACTTGACTTGTTTACACTGTGGGTTGTGTGTCCCCTGGGTGTCTGCATGGCTTGTTTACACGGTATGGTGTGTGTCTCCAGGGTATCTACACGGCTTGTTTACACGGTGTGCTGTGTGTCTCCAGGGTATCTACACGGCTTGTTTATATGGTGGACTGTGTATCCCTGGGGTGTCTACATGGCCTGTTTACATGGCAGGTCCTTTTTTCCCAGGGTGTTCCTGGCAGAGCAGTTTGAAGCTCTGCAGCCCCACCTGGATGCTGTGATGCCTGCCGTCAAGAAACCCTTCCTGCAGCAGTTCTATTCTCAGGTCGGAGATCGACTTAGGTGTAATCTCGCCTGTTTGCGAAATGGGCCTGTCACAGATATTTGGGTTTTGGTTTTCGTGTTACTGGAGGTCAGTCTCCAAACAGTAGTGCCAGATGCAGTGTACGTTTATTCATGCATGAATCCCTGTGCCAAGTACATACGTACTGAGCATCTCATATGACTTTTAGACTAGTGAGGGAGAGAGCCAATTAAAACTGTATTGATGGACAGGAATGGTGGCTCACACCTGTGATCTCAGAGCTTTGGGGAGTCAAAGATGGAGGATTGCTTGAGGCCAGGAGTTCAGGACCAACCCAGGCAACATAGTGAGACCTCATCTCTCAAAAAAAAGAAAATTAGCTGGACATGGTGGTGTATACCCATAGCCCCAGTCACTCAGGTGGCTGAGAGGGAGGATCGCTTGAGCCCAGGAGCCAGAGGCTGCAGTGAGCTATGTGCACCACTGCACTGCAGCCTGGGTGATGAGTGAGATACCATCTCTTAAAAAAACAAAAAACCCAAAAACCTGTGCTTGCAAGTGCTTGACTAGAGGGGCTGCGACTGGGAGAAGGTGACCTGGAGAGACCCTAGAAGAGGTGATATGGGAGCTGAGCTGGCCTGTGGAGAGGCCTGCAGGAGTTCCCACTACAGGGGGGACGTGGGCAGCCTAGGAGGTAAGGACACAGCACCTGGGAGCAGCCTGGAGGTCTTGCCTGTCCCAGCAGTGAGGGCTGAAACTGAGAAAGTGCTGGGCTGGGCCAGGGCAGGTCGTGTGCTGAGGGTACCACACTGTGTCAGGTGTGTTCTAGAAAGAGCCCCCCCGGGCAGTGGGCCGAGGGGACTGTCCCAGGTGGAGTGCTCATGTCCTTATGGTGACAGCGCCAGTGGCCCCGAGTTTACTGACGCCCCCGCCAGTCTTCCTGAGCACTCATGTCCTCATGGTGGCAGTACCAGTGGCTCCAAGTTTATTGAATGTCTCAGCATCATGTTTGGTGTGAGGCCTTTGCCCTCCTTCACGTATTTTGAAGAATTTTCATAATTTAAATCTCAAATTGATAGTGTTTAGTTTTCACATGTGATATATACTAGGAACAGGGCAAAATATTCTCTATGTTTGTGATGCTTTTAGAACATAATTGTTTTCATTTCTACTGAATTCATTTCAGACAGTCTCAACTGCCAGTGAACTGCGCAAGCCAATATACTGGATTGTTGCTGGGAAGGCCATTGATTACGAACAGATGCTGCTGCTGATGGCCAATGTCAAGTGGGACGTGAGGGAGATCATGTCGCAGCACAATGTCTACGTGGACGCACTGCTGAAGGCAGGTGTTTTGCCAGGGACGTCTCGCCGTCACCAGGCTCTCACTGCAAGAGTACTGTAGCCTTGTGGTGCTAATGTCCCCAAAGTGACCAGGCTTACTTTCTGAACATTGTTTTTTGTCAGAGCTGAGATACTGTGTAGATCTTTTGGTTTAATTCACCAGTTTCCCATTTAGAGTTAGAGTTTGATGATTGTATGCTGTGGCTTACGTTCATATTGTGCCATCTCAGTAGCAGTCTCTCATGACAGGAAGGCATTTCCTTTAATTAGAAGTTATTTTTGTCACTTAGTGTGTATATCATGAGCATGGGGCCATGTCCCTGATTCTTCCAAGTTGTTGTTCCTAGAAATCGCATCATTTTTGCAGTGTGTCATGCAAACTACTCTTTGCAGCCAGTGACCTGCATGTATAAGTTTCCCAGAAGGAGTTGTAGTTCTTTTCATTTATGCATGATTAGATAGTTGGATCACTGACATGGGTCACATGTTGGTGAGAGTGAATTCAGAAGCTTCAGTGCCCTCAGGAATTTGCTTGCCAGTGCAGGGTAGTGGGCGGCTGATCCACAGAGGTGTCACGTCAAGTGATGAGCAGTGCTAGGGAGAAAAGTAAGCCAGCTGAGAAGAGTGCGTCACAGGCCATAGGAGAGAAACAGTGGCAGGCTCCTCTGGTGACCCCCACGCTACGTACGGAGCCTTCCAGAGGCCTGGATGGAAGACAGTGAGGCTGACTCCAGAGTGCAGGAACTGAGGATGTCCATATCTGTAGGCAGGGACTGGGGGTCTCCATGAGGTATCAGGGGATGATCACAAGGGCACTCTACATTTGCTACTCAAATTCAGAGATCATTGAAGGAAGAACCTTGGTGTCCAGAGCACGTAGGAGCTTTTAACTTCACATTTTCATTTGGAATGTAAGAGATCAGTCAAACTTACAAATAATAAGACCCCTCTTTTTTTTTTTTTTAAAACAATTCTGTTTTTGAAAAGTTGATTCTGTTTTTCATGATATGCTGTCTTAGTCCATTCAGGCTGCTGTAACAAAATACCATAGAAGGGGGTGGCTTGTACACAAGTTATTTCTCCAGGATCAAGGCTCAGGCAAACTCGTTGTCTGGTGAAGGCCAAGTTCTCATAGGTGCCACCTTCTTGCTGCATCCCTACCTGTTGAAAGAGGCAAAGTTGATCTCTTGTCTCTTACAAGGGCACCAATCTTAGTCGTGAGGGTTCCAGCCTCATGGTATAATCACCTCCCAAAGGCCCCACCTCCCAGCACCATCGTCCTGGGAGTTAGAATGTCAACACATGTACTTGGAGGGATTCAGACATTCAGAGCATGCTCATCAGGGTGCCAGGAAGAAGGGCCTCTGTACTCAGCTGGCCTACAGGCTAGAAGAGGCTGCTTGTTTCTGCCATTCTTAATTCCAAGAAACATGAATATCATAAGAGCGAATGTCAATCAGATTCTTAACCTGAACCCAGCTTTTATGTCCTTAAGGCCTTCTTTAAGCATACCAGTTAATTATCTGTGAAAGCTTTTGTTCTTCCTGTTATTTTTCTGTGTCTAAGCGTTAGGTGAAAACAGTCTGCTTATGCTGCCCCAAAAGAGTTGTCAGTTAAATGAAATGGTTTTATTATTGATTTTACAACAAGCATTTCTGAACATTGGCGTTAGCAGTCAGTAGAATGTCATTTTGTAGTCAGCTTATAACTTTTACTTTTAATTAAAATTTTGTTTGTTTTTTGGGGTGTTTTTGAGTTGAGTCTCACTCTGTCGCCCGGCTAGAGTGCAGTGGCACACTCACAGCCACTCCAGCGTTGACCTGCTGGGCTCCTCCAGCCTTCCAAGTAGCCGGAACTATAGGCGTGCTACCACACCCGAATAATTTTTTATTTATTGTAGAAATGAGGTCTCCCCAAGTTGCTCAGGCTGGTCTTGAACCCGCAGGCTCAGGCAATCCACTTGCCTCCCAAAGTGCTGGAATTATAGGCTGAGCCACTGAGCCTGGCCTTAAGTAAAATATTAATGAAAAATGTTGAATTTGACCCTTGAAGTCCAAAGCAGTTTGTTCCAGTGAATGTGTAAATTAATACATGCAGCAACAAATAACTCCTGTCTGCTAGATCTGTGGCCTGGGCCAGAGCTGAAGAGCAGTTATTGTTTAACCCTGATTTTCAAAGGTAAACTGAGTGAGTTGACAGTCCACCTCTGTTTGGCAATTAAAAACAAGGGGCTGTTAAAATAAATTCACAAGAAAACTTGTGTTTTAGCAAGAGCCAAGATCAAGGCACAACTCAGCTATCATTATGCGGCAGTGTGGCTGGTGATCATGTAAGACTCTCCTGTGTGGTACTGGCAGAGTTAACACGTGTCAGTCTTGCTAAACATATATCACTTCTCTATTCGGGAAACTAAAGAAAAACATTATGCTATCCCTTTTAAGTTTATTTGGAATACATTGCCGGGTACAGATCGACAGCATCTCCTTTTGTAAGTGGACGTGTTTGGATGGTCTTCATCCAAAGATACCAAAAGCTCATTTATTGAAGGGTGAGTCGTCTGCTGCTTTCATCTGATTATGGTGTTGTCTAAATTAGTTACATTTAGTTTATACTTTTAGCACAATCATGTCATAAAAGTTAATAGACAATAAAATGTCCAATATTTCTGTAGGTAGTAGAAACTATTTTATGTTTTATTTTTTCCTTTGAACTGAAAAATTTGCAGCTGAACATGACTTTCAAATTATTTGGTATGCAGGCAGAGCATACCAATATTTGAAATGTTCCAAAACCTAGAACTTCTTGAGCACTGATGTGGTCCTTAGAGGAATTGCTCCTTGGAACATTTCAGAATTTGGATTTCAGATTTTTGGAATTGGGATGCTCAACTGGAAGTTATAATGCCAATATTCCAAAATATGAAAAAATCCAAAATTCAAAAACATCTCAGGGGTCCTAAGCTTTGGATAAGGGATACTCAACCTGTATAATAATGTATTTACTTTTAAAGAATGTGGAGGAGAAAGGACAGTTGATCAGATTGCTGTCTAAGGAATATAACTACAATGTACACATAGTTAATTCTGCTTCAAAAACTTGAGACATGGCTTGAAGATATTTTTAATGCCAAACTAGATTATTCAGGTTTTTTCATCCCTACTGACAACAATAGAAAATTTTGAAATGTAGGAACTTTGGGACATTGTTGACATTGTTTAATCAACTAATGACACATTTCATTTAAGATGAGATGTAGTGTACTCTGTGCTGTAACTTATTCATATTGGGGGGGTGTGTGTGTGTGTGTGTGTGTGTGTGTGTGTGTGTGTGTATTTAAAGCCTTCACAGTAATTCCAAGTTATCTCTGGCATTATCTCTTTTTGTTTTATTTGGTTTGATTCTGAGTCTTTCCAAATCTTTTTATTTTCTACTATTTTGTGGGAAGGGATTGTGGCATTATAATGATATTCAAGTATGGCCATGATTTTTGTCTTCTTAGGAATTTGAACAGTTTAACCGGAGGCTGAATGAAGTTTCTAAGCGAGTTCGGATACCCTTGCCTGTATCTAATATACTTTGGGAACATTGTATACGATTGGCTAATAGAACTGTTGTGGAAGGGTAAGTTTTTCATGAAAGCATGTTTGCTTCTTAAATTCTAATGTATGAACAATGTTGTGTGGTCTCACTAATGATGGAGAGAATGGGTACAGATAAGGGGTAAATAGCATACAGGCTAGGGGTGCAGTTAGGGAAGAAACCTGAAACCATAGTGCTTCTCTCTCTCTGGCTGTCTTTTCTTGCTGGTGATGTAGAACCAGCCTGTACATGAGTGAGGCATCAGAACCTAACGGTGACCTGAAAGTTAAACTGATAATTATTAATGCCTAATAACAGGGTGATGATGCTGATACCTGGCATTTTTTGAGTGCTATGTGCCATTTACTGATCCATATGTTACAGGGTTACGTTACCAAATCCTGAAATAAGCTCTCTTTGGTGGTGCTGGTCCTGTTTTATCAATGAGAAAATGAAGGGTTAGTAGGTTAAGTAACTGGCCTGAGTTGACGCGGTGTTTAAGGGGGAAAGCGTTGACCTCTGGCTTTCTGGCAATGGAGTCAGCCCTTCCAGCCCTGCATCTGTGTCTGTCACGTTGTCATCACCCTCCTGCTCGAGCTGTGCAAGCTTGACATGCTAAGCTGCAGCTCTTCCAGGAGTCATTTCTTCTTAGTGATGCTCCTTCTGCTCATAATACCCAGAATGCGGAGAGAATTGGAGCCCTTTTACCATCTCCCTGGAAGTAGACAGCTGTTTCAGAGGCCATGCTGTATCCAGAATTGCACATCAGTTGAATTTGCACACTGTCATTAGTCTCACTTATCTTAGTTCTCATTTGTGATATAAAAGAATGTTCTAGAAGGTGGGGAGATGACAGTGACAGCTGACGATGGTCTTGGCACTGTGCGTGGAAACGAGCGTGCTGTAAGTGATGCACAGCTATGTCAGCAACCAAAAATAAAAAGCATTTTTAATCAGTGTGTTCACTGAACTAGAAAAGTAAATAGTACATGTTATGTTTCTGTGTAAAATACTTTTTATTAAAAACAGTTGAACACTCTAAGTAATTTAAGCCTAATTTTCTTGCAAATGTCCCTAGGGGAAGTGTCGCATTCGCTGTGGTTGAATTTTTCATGCTCTGTGATTGGTGGAAGGACTGAGACACTGGCTGATGAGTAATACAGGGTACTGTTAGGGCTAGTGTATCCACCCACCTCAAACACACAGTGTTGCAGTAGCTGGGATGTCAGAACAAGGACTACAGATTCTTCTGTCAGGGAAGAGGCACGCATGCTTTCTGTGCTCTTGTGCTTCTTGCCATCAGCTTGCTGAGTGGTCAGGGAGATGATTGTGTGTGTTTTTTTTTTTTTTGCATGGAGTAGTTATAATACCGAACAGTTTATAAAACAGATTATTTTGAAGTGTTCAAAGCTTAGTTTTATGAAATAGCTCAGCAGCCAAGTTAACTGTAATACTTCCTTATAGACATTAACTTCTGCATAGGCAGTCAGAGTTAACTGAATGCAGGAACTGTGGTCTGTAAGGCAAAATAAAAAAAAAAAAAAAAGAGAGAGATCCCTGGAGTTACTAGATCTCTTTGCTTTGAAAATTGAGGTCCAGATAGATAAAATGACAGGACAGCACACAAGCCAGCCTTCTGACTCAGGCTTGTGCTCTCTTCTCCCGTAACTGTTCATTCCTAGAGACTCTGTCCAAATACAGGCTGGAGAAAACCCAGATGCCTGACGCTTTTCCCTGATTTCTTGGTGTGTGTGTGTGTGTGTGTTGTATCACTGTGTGTCTCAGATTTGCCAACGTCAAGAAGTGCAGTAATGAGGGCCGTGCCTTGATGCAGCTGGATTTTCAGCAGTTCTTAATGAAACTTGAGAAACTCACAGACATCAGGCCCATTCCTGATAAAGAGTTTGTAGAAGCATACATCAAAGCCTACTACCTGACTGAGAATGACATGGAACGCTGGATCAAGGAGCACAGGGTGAGTTGAGCCCATCACCCCTGGCTGCTCCTATTCCTTCGTGCCCTTCTTGTCTGGTGTGTTCTTCAGTTCCAGACTGTGAGAGTGAAATAGAAACATTTGCTTCTTACTATTCACTGATAGACCAATACATATTCAGACTGTGTCCATGCAGTGCCCTTTGCCTAATCAAGTCTTGTTGAGCCCTTTGTGAACTGACACAGTAAGTACCGAGAAATATAGCTGAGGTCAGAATGTCCGCTGTATGTTTCCTGCACCTGTGTCAGGAGGAAGGGCTGAAGTTGATTAGCATCAAGACAGATTGAATACGGTAACATTGAAATGACTTGCATACCATAGCATATGATAGTGTCAACCTCTGTGCACCCCTCAGCAGTGAAACGGTGATATCCTAAACATGCTGACATGTGTTGGCGATGATCAAAGATATTCCTATTTAAGTAACTGGATTCACTTGCATCTCACATTAGATCTTACCTTTAATATAGATTTGATTATGTTTCTTTTGCATGGATATACAGATGAGTAGAGAAAATACTATTCATTGTTACTCAGGTGCTGAATGTTTGACACAGATCAGCTCACAGTTCACCAAAACACACACGGTGTGGGGAACTTCTCTGTATGATTGCTGTATCATCGGTCAGGATAGGTACTAGGTGAAGGCAGATTTAATAAAATATGGCATGTGTTGAAATCACCACATCCTTCTTACTTTAATAACTCTATGGTTCACATTTACGTAGGCTATGAACATCAAGTAAAATTGTATTTCACTTGGGTAAGGAAGTAAAGAATTATTTGCATTTACCTTCTGAGACTCACTGTTTCTGGTTTCATCACCGTAAAAAGACAAAAATGCATGTTAGCCTGGAACGTGTACACTGGCCTGAGTGTGTCAGTGTGCGCACTGTGGTCACTTTCAGATCTTTGGAAGCAAAGTAGAAATGTGCATATGATATTGTTCGGTGATTTTGGCTAGTGAGCCAAGATTAAGGAAAACACCACTGTCAGCCCTGCTGGCATCTGAAAACCCAAATGCGCCAGCTGCAGATAGATGGTGCAGGCTGCCGGAGTCCCCATAGTGACGGGGCAAGGCTCAGGGAAGGAGCAGAAGGAGCACAGTTCTGAATACTCACATCTGATGCAGCGCAATGCCCATTCTAAGGTTTCCTTGTTAAGCTAGTGGACTGAATTGTTTTTAGCTTAGTGTCTTGAAGAGCTGTAACAAACTGATATTTGTAGTTCAGTGGCATCTCCCAGCCGCAGCGGGAACCTGCCCTGTCTTCAAGGAGCCTCCCACGATGGTGAGCCCAGCGCTTGCCGATGGTGGGCCCTCACTGAGTGCTGACTGGCTAAATGAGGCTGTTTGCCCTGTGGTGACAGGCATACCCAGAGGTCAGGTACACTGAGTTGTGCCCAGGTAGTTTTGTTTTGTTTTAATTTTTGTTTTTATTTGTTTTAGAAACAAGGCCTTGCTCTATCACTCAGTCTGGAGTGCAGAGTGTAAACATAACTCACTATAGACTCAAACTCCTGGGCTCAAGCAATCCTCCTGCCTCAGCTTCCTAAGTAGCTGGGGCTACAAGTGCATCACCACACTCGGCTAATATTTTTAAAAAATTTTTACCAAGGCTGGTCTTGAACTCTTGTACTCAAGTGATCCTTCTGCCTCAGCCTCCCAAAGTGCTGGCATTACAGCCATAAGCCACGATGCTTGGCCTGCTGAGTTTTTAAAATGAACTCTTTCTCCTATTTTGAAATTGCAGTGTCTTTAGCTAGCAGTTGCTTGCAGTAAAGACAGGCTTTCTTTTCCTGTTAGATGATGTCATGTCTCCGTTTCTGAACTCCTTCTGTTCTACCTCCAGGACCAAATCAATATGCAGGAGTTCCTGATGAGTTCTTGTTTGTTCTCACCTTAGCAAGTCATCATCTGAAATTCAGGCGCCAGATAGATTTGGATACTGTACTTACTAGCTACCAATTACAATATGAAGCTTTAAAAAGCACTGACTTTCGGATCCTTGTGACATTTGCTTGTTGTATCTTAGAAGCATTGTTTATTGTCAGTTTTTGTTGTTTTAACTAGAGTGTTTACAAACTGTAGAGTACCAGGAAAATGCTCAGTAGCATTCTAGAAATGTGAAATGTCAGTGTATGTCAATCCAAGACTATCACAGAAGCAGGCATAAAGTGTGTGGTCTTCAGAGCAGCAAGAAGCATGGGTGTGTCAGATGGCTTTGGCAGCTCTGATTGAGGCAGACTCGAGTGCTTCCTGTTTCTCCTGGACTCTGTGGCATCCTTCTTCTCTCACAGCTCAGTGAACAGCTTGTCTTCCTTGTTCCAGCTGTAGTTCGACTGTTTTTACCAGTTCATAGCACTCAGTAACCATCCACTGCACTTGCATGCCTGTCTATTCTTTTGTTGCACTGATCAGATGCACATCTTTGTACTAAATGTGTACCTTTCTTCTTTGAGCAGGAATATTCAACCAAGCAGCTGACCAATCTGGTGAATGTTTGCCTGGGATCCCATATCAATAAGAAAGCAAGACAGAAACTCCTAGCAGCTATCGATGATATAGACAGGCCTAAAAGATAATAGACACAGCTGGTTTTCTCACTGGCATCCATCTTCACTCGCCATAGATGACATGAAAGCCGATGTTTTATGCACTCCTTACAGCTGTCGCCTGAGAAGACTTGGTGCATGTTTTTCAGCTGGAAAGTGCAGAATGTCACAGTGTGTGTGGTTCACAAGTGACTTTGCATTCTCTGGGCTCTTCCCTTCAGCTTCTGGCCTCGGTGGTTGTAATCCCTTTCTGAGTAATGTTATTGCCTTGTCATAGCTGTGGTTATGTGACTACAATTACATGTTTTACTGAAGAATGTACCATAAGTATATAAGTAGAGAGCACCGTGGAGAATGCATTTACGTTGGCGTTTTCCACCCTCTGAACTTGGTTCTTAGTGCATATGATGTGAGAGGGTTAATGTACAGTTCTCCTAATTATGAGCACTGCATGAGAATTTAAAGCACGTGTAAGTAAAATAGTTGAAAAATCAGCATATGCTCTGTGATTTTGAATGTCAGAGTTTATGTCAGGGTTAATTTAGTTATAACAAAGTGATCATTAATGTTGAAATTTAATAAATATTACACTCTAATGTGATCAGCCTATGTGAGACTGCATTTTGATATTTTTTCCTGGTAGGCAGATGTCATGAAACTGTTAAGCAATTTTTTATCATGTTCTAGTTTTAACTATTTTATATCCTGAAGCCAATGTGAGAAGCAGTTTCATTGAGTACACCTTTTCAGTGCCTGCGGACATACAGAATCGTGACTGTGGGACTCTGTTTTTTTAAAACATGGGTTTTTTAATGCACATTTTGTTCTCTCAAGTTCAGCTTTTGTCTCGGGATAGCACCACCTTGACTGGTGTGTTGTCTGGCACGAGTGCAGGGCCCTGTGTTCACTTCCGCCATATCCACTTCGTGTGAAGATATAGAGTAGGATGAGTTGAATGGTGATGGACTCTGAACCCAGATACCGAGTCCTAAGTACCCACGTGCTGTTCACTAAGCTCTGCCCTGAGCCAAGATCTTCTCCTCATGGTGGGACATGAGAACCCAGTCATGTGAGCTCCTGCCAGCCATCTAGCAAGGAAGTTTGCACGTATTCCTTCTGACTGGAGAGTGGGAGATGTCTGACATGGGTGTTGCTCCAGGAGTTACTGTTCATGACCTGTACCAGCCACAGCTCATGGAATACTGAGTCTCAGGAAACAGGCCTGTGTCCCGGGGGTGTCCTGAGCCCTGGGGTGCTGATGTGGAGGGCACAGGGTGGCATGGTCAGGTGTGGAGGGGAAGAAGCAACTGCACTTGGCATCCATCATTCCCTGCAGATGTTATTAGCACAGACCGCTGTGACAAATGCCTAGAATGTGTGTGTATGTGAGGAGGTGCAGCCCGCTGTGATGCATGCCTAAAACGTGTGGTTGTGTGTGTGTGTATGTGTGTGTGTGTGTGTGTGTGTGTGTGAGAGAGAGAGAGAGAGAGAGGAAGTGCACAGCCACTGTGATGCACACCTAGAACATGTGTGTGTATAAAGAGCTTTTCTTTCACCCTCTCAAACCACAGTTCATTTACTGTAAGCTTAAACTCTCCACCTTCCTGTAAGAAGATGTGAGTTTGTTGTCATTGCGAGGTTGTGGCACTAGGTTGTGATTATGACCTTCTTGGGCTCTAGGTTGTGATTGTGGCCTCCTTGTGGTACTAGTTTCTTATTGTGACGTAGATTGTGTCCGTGACTTTTGTCCATGTGTAGCTTCTGAAGGAAACATTCTCTGTGTGCCATGGTGTGTCACCTGGGCGCTGAAGAGCTGGTCAGTCTATCCCATTTCTCAGTTAGTAAGGATCTGCCTGTTTCCTTTCTCTTACATGGGTTTGGTTTCTGTGATCCCCATGATACTTAGATCTAGACAGTAGAACCAGCATCTGCCTGTCAGGGTGACAGGCCCCAATGCAGAGTGCCTGTCCCTTAGATCATCGTTGCCATCTGATGGGCCTTCACCTGCCCTGACTTTGCTTCTTTTGTCTCCACGATACAAGTGGCATCTTCAATGTTTTGGGAAAAGGTTTTTTTTTTAAAAAAAAAAAAAATTAAAAGTCACTTAAAAAGCTCTAGCATGAAAACAGCAACTGGGTATTTGAGTCATGAAAATACCTAATTATAGGAGTCACCAGACATTTATCAAGTACATTCTGCAGTAATACTGAATGATAACCAAATAATAATTTGTGAAACTAATTTTAAGATAAACAGAACTGAAAAGCTAAGGATGTAAATAGAATTATACATGTCCCAAAACTTATAGTAGTTACCAAGAATTTCTTTTTGAGTTGAAGTGTTTCTTAAGTTTTGACATTTCATATGAAAGTGTCTTGTAGAATTCAGGATTTTAAGTTGATATGAGAGTGTAATAAATTAGTAATCCCTGAGGGGGAAAATGGTGATTTCTACAAATATATTGTCTTGCATTTAAAAGTGTCACTTTAAAAGGGAGATACATTGTAGTCCTAATGAACTAATTTTTTTCAGTTTATACAATCTGCAGAGATCTGCGCGTACACTTTACCCAATATACTCACTTATACACCTTGCGAAATGGAGTTTCTCTTGAAAGCAGGACAATGTGGTATTTCCTTTGAAAACTGCTAATTAGCTGAGTGTTACAGTGAAACTTAGTTACATAACTTCTTCTTTACTCACACACTGAAAAGTAGTTAACAGCTGGTAATTCACTTTACTTCAAAAGTAGAGTTATCTTTCATAATAAAAAATCAGGCATGAAGATGAATAAGAGGTGCTCAAAGCAGTGGAAGTGGTGTGGGGTGAATAAATATGTGTGTACACACACACATATATGTTTTAATTTAGGGTTAGTCTTTAACAAAATGAGATTAGCTTTTGACAGTGGTTAATGATGAGACAATTATTAAAGCTCTGGTGTAATCTTTAAGACAGGTGCAGCTTTCTATAGTTTTTTTTGTTATTATTATTGAAAATATTTACTCAATTCCTATCATCCACAGATTTTTAAAGGCCATCAAAAAGTCTAAGCTGCACAACTCTCATTAGGGCAAACCTCTGTCAGGCTTATACAAGAGGAGTATTAGCTGGTTAAAAGCAAATGGAGGACAACAGGTCATGTCCCTGACACGCTCTTCTTGGCAGGCATGGCCTTTGTGACTTGCTGAGTATACTGGATTTTTTTTTTTTTTTTTTAAAACAGCAACAAAACTACAACTAAATTCTCTCCTACACTTAGGATCCCTCTGGGATTGTGGTACTTTGTAGAACATTCTTTCAGTTTGTTTTTGATTAAGAAGCATTTTTGTGTTGATTTAAAGATCATGTTTTGATCTCAAGTCAAAGAAGACTCTTAGATGGCTGGGATTTTCACACGTGCTTTCTACGTAGTTTCTCACCCTGAGCTGAGCCTTTGATTTGGGAAAGACATGTTCTTAGTCAACAGTCTTGACTTTGTTCTGTCACAGTGTCACAACAGTTTTAACAAGGGTAACAGTGGGGCATCACAAAGGACGTGGGGAGGCCATGTCAGAGATCTGGACTGCAGTGTTGTGCTGAGGAAGGAGTGTGTGAGGCCTAGTGGAGGATGCTGCTCAGGGAGAGGCTGGAACGTCTGTGTGACTGGCACAGCAGGCAGCAGACACAGAGAGCATGGGGAGGAACACACACATGGAGCCTGGGGGTCTCAGGTGGGGTATGCAGGGCTGTGTGCAGAGCCTTGGCCTGGAGGACGTACGTGGAGACTTGAGTCCCCTCAGATGGGGAGTGTTCGGGGCTGTGTGTAGGACCCAAGAAGACATATTCAAGCCAATGCAACTTATTGTATTAGGATTCCCTGAGAAACAAAACCAGTGGGTGTGTGCATGGGTGTGTGTGTGTGCGTGTGCGTGTGCGCACACACATATACAAGCCATTGTTTTAAACAATCATGGAGGCTGTCATGTCCCATGATCTGCAGGGCAAGATGGAACCCAGGACACCTGGTGGTGTAGTTCCCATCTGAAGCAGGCTCGATACCCAGGAAGAGCCAGTGTGTCCCTTCAAGCCTTGAGGCAGGACAACACTGATATCCCACCTGAAGGCACCAGCAGGAGGAATCCTGATTTACTTGGGAAAGGTTCAGCTGTTTTCTTCAGACCTTTAGCTGACTAGATGAGATCCACCCACGTTGTAAAGGGCATCTGTTAAACTCTGTCTCCTACTAATGTTCATTTCATCCAGAAGAGCCTTATGGGAACCCCAGGATCATGTCTGACCTGAAGTTGGGGCACCAATGGCCCAGTCAAGCTGACACAAAGTTAACCATTATACTTCCAGATAAAATGATACTTTAAGCTAAACTCCAGAATTATTTGTTTGATGAAGATTATAGGGCCAAGGATGTGCCTTTTCTCTTCCAAAAATTAGTGTTCCACTCCACTGAATGCATTTTCAGAAGGCTAAAGATACTGGGAATTCCATATTATGAATTTTTTTGTGCAATCTAAATGTGCCTCATGAAATTTTGTGCAGTTAAGATTGATTGAGATTATTTCAAGCTACAGAATCTCGTTATATTATCCCTGATGTTAAGAAACTTGCAGACTTGCTTCATGAACTACCAAATAGCCTAAATATTCACTGGTCATCTTCAGAATGAAGATAAAATCTCAAATAACCACGGGTTTTGAATTGGCAGCATTTTCTAACATTCCTTTTTGGGAGAAAGAGAATATAGTTAAAGCAGCACAAATCGTAAGATTTTGTAAAAATGTCAACCCCCAATAGAGGACAGATACAATTGATCTCTTCCACCTTTATTGATGTTTGAATATTGATAATTAATTCTGAGAGTGGTGACTCTGACTTACTACAAGGTCTTTGGTTATTGTCAAGAATGAAAACCAAAAGAAGCCTCAATCACCTACCAATGGTGTGCATTTACTAGACTGAGAAATCGTCTGTCAATAATTATTAGACCTGAAAGGGCTTAGAGACACAACCTGAGTTTTAGCTTGGATAGGCCTCAATGACGATGGAGGTGATGTAGGAGAACAAGCTTCAGGAGGGGCTTTGTGGTTTTTCCTCACTGCTGAAAAAATCTAAATAAAACGACATGAGACTTATCCTCCCCCCATGCCAAGAAGGTGACCCACAGCCCTGTTCTTGGTATGACCTTCTCTTCCCAAGGAGACTCCTCAAGATTTTGTGTATTATAACTGAAATTGCTTTATATCTAGCTTGTGTGCAGGACCCCAGATAGGGATTTGAAGGCCAGGTGCATTATAGAGGGAAGCGGCAGGTCCCCATGGTGTGTGGAGCCCTCTGAATCTGAGAATTTGATTTCTAAAGAACAGCCAGTAGGTTGTCTCCGAGGTAAACTCAAGTGCAAGGACCCAAGAGCAGGTGCAGGACAGGACATGCAGAGGCTTCTGCTGTGACCCAGGGCAGTGGGAATGGTGGGGACCAGGACCCACCTGTATGTCAGGAGCCATGGCAGGCCCCTAGTTGGGCTACGGCCTTAGGGGAAGGGAGGGCCCTGATCACGTGACTGAAATTGAACTTCTTAACATCTTGGCGCATGGGAATATACATGTGTTTAATTT